ACACAGCTATGCCTTATTTCCGTCTTGGGAATCTATAACAGAAATTCAGCAAAGTTGCCCTAGGGAAAGAAATCATAACACTCTGCCAGAACTTTCCCGGACCAATGCCAATCACAAGGGTTGATAAGAATGCAGTGAGGATATTGGAAAATAAGGCCAGGTGTGAAGTATGAATAAAGGCAGGGGGATACTTTCAACAGGCTGAGGGGAAGGGATGCAGGATTTTCTAGATTATTCAGGTATCACTCATTACCAGTTTCCATTGAAGGCAGCATCTTTGTCACTCTTAAGCCTCTTCTTCCTTCCAACCTACCAAGCACAGTGACAACTCTGTTTTAGGCAATTTCTCACTCAGATAGATGTGAATGCAATGAAAAAGTTATACTATTTTGACAAGATATAAAAATAATAAGGAAATACTAACTTTGGTTGTTTTAGGACTGTAACTCATGACTAATATCCCCCTTTAATGACGTAAATAAAACACCTTACCAGTTTCAAAGAATTTTCAAACACACTATCTGACTGAATCTTTACAATAAACCTGGAATGTCAATAAAGCTGGTATTCACCTCCTTTTACAGCTGACCAAACCCAAGTTTACAGACATAATTCACTAGAGAGTCACAGACACTTTACCAGATGCCAGCCACTGTGTGAAGATGCCAAAAATCTGCCTAAAACAAAGTCCTTCTCAGGAACCACCTCCAAATCCAAAGAGGAGACCCCATGTCAACAACAACCACAACACAAAGTATAGAAGCCAGCACTAACCTGTGGAAGTAACCTGGAAGCAAGTCCACATGTGTGACTGCGACTAAGTAATCACTGACCTACATTGGCCAAAAGAAGTGTCGGGCTAATCTAAGAGCAGGGAAAGAAGTCAAGAAGCCAGAGCTTCCACCTCCTTGGCTGCCACTCTACTACTCTGCTCTCTGCTGTCTTTTCCCCTTAACACTTTCTTTTTTTTTTTTGGAGACAAGGTGTCACCCTGTCTCCCAGGCTAGAATGCAGTGGCATATAAAGGCTCACAACCTCAAGTGATTCTCCCACCTCAGCCCCTTGAGTAGCTCAGACTACAGGCACACACAACCAAGCCCAGCCTACTTTTTTTTTGGTAGAGGCAGGGTCTCCCTTTGTTGCCTAGGCTGGTCTCAAACTCCCAGGCTCAAGCGATCCTCTGGCCTCAGCCTCTCAAAATGCAGAGATTACAGGCCTGGGCCACCATACCTGGGCTTAATACGTTTTTTGTTTACTTCCTTTCTCAACTTAAGGTACTTTTCCATGTTACATAATTCATACGTTTACTTATCTATACAGCCCCCATGTATCTCTAAAATGACAATAGCATAAATGAATTCAACAGATAGGAAACATTTCTTTCATTTAAGTACTTATGTTTTGTCCCACAAATTATGAAGTACTTTGAGGAAAGGATTCAATTATCAATTCCTAGCAAGCACTCAAACATAACTACAAGAAAATGAGAAATTGAGGGAATAATTAATACATTGGAGCAGAAATTAGGAGCAGTATGCAAAAATATATTTGAAATGTGTAGAATCTAAACTGCATATATGTGATTTTCCCTAAAGAGCCTTAACAAATGCAGTACAGTAGATCCTGTCAAATTTCTAAATTAAGTCTGTCAGACCACCTAAGAGAATCTAATCACCAAAAATTCTCAAATCCATCCATTTCTTTCCTTCTTCTCTTTGAGAGACAGTCTTGCTCTATCGCCCAGGCTGCAGTGCTCCAAAGCTCAAGTGATTCTCTTGCCTCAGCCTCCCAAGTAGCTGGAACTACAGGTGCACACCACCTTGCCCAGCTGATTTTATTTTCATGCTATAGAGACAGTCTTGCTAAGTTACCCAGGCTGTTCTAAACTCCTGTCTTCAAGCCACTGTGGCCTCCCAAAGTGTTGGGATTACAAGCATGAAGCCACTGTGAACTCAGCCTGTACTTCCATTTTTTTAAAATGTGCCACAGCCAGATGGATCACCTGAGGTCAGGAGTTGGAGACCAGCCTGGCCAACATGGTGAAACTCCACCTCTACTAAAAACACAAAAATTAGCTGGGTGTGATGGCAGGTGCCTGTAATCCCAGCTACTCAAGGCTGAGGCAGGAGAATCACATGAACCTGGGAGGCAAAGATTGCAGTAAGCCAAGGTCACGCCACTGCACTTCAGCCTGGGTGACTCCGTCTCAAAAAAAAAAAAAAAAATGTGCCACATATCACAACACTTTTAAAATTTGAATGATAAATTCAAAACAACTGCAAGTACATGCTGTGATTATATGTAAAACAAGATCACAACAGCATCTACCTCCCTAAGGTTGGTAAGGATTAAATGACTTACTCTGTGCCAGTGCCCATATTCATTAGATATTTTAAAAAATATCCCAGTCTCAGCAAAATGTATCAATCTAAAACTTACAGTAAGAATAATAAGATCATTGGCCAGGCATAGTAGCTCATGCCTGTAATCCTGGCACTTTGGGAGGCTGAGGCAGGTGGATCACCTGAGGTCAGGAGTTCGAGACCAGCCTGACCAACATGGAGTAACCCCATCTCTACTAAAAATACAAAAAATTAGCCAGGTGTGGTGGCCCATGCCTATAATCCCAGGTACTCAGGAGGCTGAGGCAGGAGAATCATTTGAACCTGGGAGGCGGAGACTGCAGTGAGCCAAGATTGCGCCATTGCACTCCAGCCTGGGCAACATAAGCGAAAACTCCACCTCAAAAAAAAAAAAAAAACAGAATAAGATTTTAAAAATGGATTCTAAAAGCTGAAAATGCATTTAGGTCTCAAAAACAGAGTAAGAATCAATGACATGCCTTTCTTCAAGTCCTTCGTGATGCTGAAGAAGAACCTAACTCCTTCCCAATGACAGCCAAGAGGAACATCAGGACACGGGCCTTGTAAGGGATAACATCCAAATGGGAAATGCCACCCACCACCTCTGAAGCCAGATTACTCCAGTCTATTTTTATCCACCAACCATTTGTAAGACTTTTTTTTTTTTTTACTTTAAAAAATTCCATGAAGGGGGCTAACAACTCCTGCGTTATGTGCTTTGCACATATATTAAGGTATTTTAGCCTCGTAGCAATAAAGTGCTGTTATAACCCCATTTCATAGGCAATAAAATGAGGCACAGGGTGCAGCTCCTAGAGGACCAGGCGTGGGGCACGGGCAGCTCCAGGGAAGCAGCTGCCTGCGGACAACGGAGACCTGCAGCCTTGAGAAAAGGGCTCACAGCTTGGGGCACAAGCGGCCCCTCCTCTCCAGATTCCCACACCCGGCCAACGACCTAGTCAGGGCCAGGCCTCGGGGTCGGATCCCACGGTGGGAGCAGCTGGGGGTAAGGAAAGGTCTCCAGAAACTGGGGAGGGTCCCGGTGTGGGGGTCCAGGCGGGGATCTTGGGTGCAGCGCCGCCGTACTGGGGTCCTGGGGTGAGGCGCCGCGGGGGGTCGTTGTATGAGAGGCGGGGCAGAGGTCCCCGGTGTGAAGAGCCACGGAGGGGTCCCTGGGGGTCAAAGCTGGGGGTCCGGTGGGGCAGCGCGGGAGTCCCGGGGTGAAGGGAGGGGTCCCGGGGTGAGGGACGGAGGTCGTCGGGGGATGAGGGACGGGGTCCCGGCGACGAGGAGCGGGGATCCCGGGGGTGAGCGGGGGTAAGGGGTGGGATCCCGGGGTGAGGGGCGGGAGGTCTTGGGGGTAAAGGGTGGGATCCCGGGGGTGAGGGGGGGTAAGGGGTGGGATCCCGGGGTGAGGGGCGGGAGGTCTTGGGGGTAAAGGGTGGGATCCCGGGGGTGAGGGGGGGTAAGGGGTGGGATCCCGGGGTGAGGGGCCGAGCTGGGGTCCCGGGTGAGGGGCGGGGTCCCGGGGCTGAGGAACCGGGGTGCCGAGTGAGGGGCGGGAGGTCTTGGGGGTAAAGGGTGGGATCCCGGGGGTGAGGGGCCGAGCTGGGGTCCCGGGTGAGGAGCGGGGTCCCGGGGTTGAGGAACCGGGGTCCCGGGTGAGGGGCGGGGTCCCGGGGTTGAGGAACGCGGGTCCCGGACGCGAGAGGCCGCGCGGGGGTCCCGGGTGAGGGCGGGTCGCGGGAGTGAGGGCGGGGACGGGCTCACCTTCCGACAACTCCAGCTCCAGCTCAGCCAGGCTTTCCCGCACCTCGGCGGGCAGCGGCGCCCCCTCCAGCGGGCACCCGCGGTCAGCCATGGCCAGGCCGGCTAGCGTCCGGGCGGAGGCTGGAACCGGACCGGGCCTGGCGGCGGGAGCGCGGACCGCCGCTACGTTGCTCCCCTCAGGCAAACAACCCACCTCCTCCAGGCAAGGAGCGGGAGGCGGCGGGGCACGGGCGCTGCCAGGGCGGCTACGCACCCGCGCGGGCACGAGCGCGGATGGCTCCTTCGCGCTGCCGCTGCCCCGCGCGCTCCTGAGCGCCCGGCCGGCCCTACACGGGAGCGCGTGCGCGGCGGGAAGGGTGGGTGGCGAGCGCGCGTGCGCGGTGGGTCTCGGGCCCTGACTGCTCCCGCCCCCCCCGGCCCCACCCAGCAACACCAGAGCCTCGCTGCCATTGGTCCCGAAGACGCGTCGATGCCGCTCCGGGCTCCCATTGGGAGAGGCGGGAGTGCGCCGCTCCCGACAGGCTCTGCGCGAGGGTGGTGGTCCTGAGGCGGGCGGGCTGCCGCGCTTGCGGCTGGAGGCGCCTGCGTGGGGGTGGGCGGCCCGTGGGCGTTGGCGCTGGCCGCAGGGTCCCCACGTTGACCCCCGAGGCGCCGTTAGTGGCCCCGCGCGCGGCCTTCCCACCCAAGCCGCCCCTCTCGGGACTAGTCCTTGGTTCCCGTGGCTTGGCGCGTCCGCGTTGACCGCTGTCTCACCTTCGGTCTGTGCAGACCCGGAACGCTACGCTGGCCGAGGTGGCAACAGGCACCTTTCTCGTACCTTTACGGGTGCTCACGCCTTTGCTTTAAAATATAGCCCTGGAAGGACACGTGGTTGGCTCCGCAGGAGCCCCAGCAGCCATCTCGGACCGCGAGGTGACCTTGGAAGGCGGAGGACGGACGAGGGGGAGCCTGCGGCCTGGCGGAGCTAGACGGAGAGGGCCCCACCTGCGCCCCGAACGCGTGGGCGGTGTGTCTGATGGCGCGAGGGCGGCCGTGCACCCATGCCGCCCGTCTGTTAGTGGGGCTGGACTGTCGCAGTTCTTGCTCTGGAGGTGCACACCAGGCCGGCCAGAGCTTGGCGGGACCTACATGCCCTTCTGTCCCCTTCGTTTCACAGGTGCCGAAACCGTGTGAACAGTCTCATGCCCAGACTCGGCCGCAGCGTCCGCTTCCGGAGAGACCATCCTGCAACAGAAGACGGGATTCGAGGCTGCGTGACTCACCGGCGGTGAAGCAGGGGCTGAACTGGTGAAATGGAATACCCGCGTGGGTGAAGTATCAGACATTTCATGCATGGCGAACGGAGTAGCTATAAGGAAGGAAAAGGGGATTGCTTAGTGCCACCGAGTCTCTTAAGAGTGGTGGACAGCCATGTACTCACCTGGCAGGGGAGATACCATGATCATGAAGGTGCTTTTCCCAGTGCGAGGCTTATCCATTGCACTCCGGATGTGCTGACCTCTGCCGATTTCCCCAAAGGTGGGAAACTCGACTGCATAATTTGTGGTAGTGGGGGACTACGTTCACGCTCTCCCCTGGTCTCTTTAAAAAAAAAAAAAATGGTGGACAGCCGAAGGCAAGCAGCAAACAGTTGAAAGCCAGTGAGTCTGTCCCGTCGCATGCAGAGAAGCTCATTTACTGCAGCAGGACGAAGGCAAGAACCAGGCCCAGGAATTAACATCCCTGTTTGAACTCCAAAAATAGCAACATGCCCACACGAGGCAATACTCTTCCACTAAGTTTGGAGCCCTGCTAGTGAAAAATGAGGTGGGGCCCATGGCTCACACGTGTAATCCCAGCACTTTGGGAGGCAGAGGTGGGAGGATTGCTTGAGTCCAGGGAGTTCAAGACGGGCTTGGGCAACATGCAAAACCCCGTCTCTACTGAAAACACAAAAAATTAGCCAGGCATAGTGGAGGCCATGGCTGTGGTCCCAGCTCCTCAGGAGGCTAAGGTGGGTGGATCACCTGAGCTCTGGAAGTCGGGGCTGTAGTGAGCTATGATGTCACCATTGCACTCCAGCCTGGGCAACAGGCGTGAGACCCTATCTTTAAAAAAGAAACAGCAACAAACCCATCATATGTGGGTTGGAGATACCTGGGTAGAGGCCTTCAACGGTTTTGACTCCCCAAACTGCCTTAAACCTTTTTTATTTTTTGGAGACAGTGTCTTATTCTGTTGTCCAGGCTGGAATAAAGTTGCTGAATCATGGCTCATTGCAGCCTCAACTTCTGGGCTCAAACCATCCTCCCACCTTAGCCTCCTAAGTAACTGGGACTACATGCATGTGTCAGCATGCCTGGCTAAATTTTTTATTATTTGTAGAGGCAGGGTCTTGCTATGTTGCCCAGGCTTGTCTCAAACTCCTAGGCTCAAGTGAGCCATCCCACCTGGCCTGCCTTGAACCTGAAGCCTACCAGGGTGGCTCACCTCTCCTATTAACCTAGCACTCCTCCTCCTCCCTCCCACCACATACTGCATACTAGATGGATAATTATGGTGGTTTCTTTTGCATTATTCAGCTGGAAGCAATGAGATAGAAAAGAGACTTGCTCCCTCCCCCTCAAAAGAACTGTGTTACTAGTTTGCTAGGGCCTCAGTAACAAATTGGGCAGACATATATTGTCTCGGAGTTCTGGATGGTAGAAGTCTGAGATGAAGGTGTTCACAGGGTCGCTTTCTTCTGGGGCTGGGAGGGAGAATCTGTCTCAGGCCTCTCTCCTAGCTTCTGGTGGTTTGCTGGCAGTCTTTGGTGTTCCTTGTCTTACAAGGCATTGCCCCAGTCCTGCCTTGATACTCACATGTTGATCTTGTGTGTGTGCCTGTCCAAATGAAGGCATAAATTACATTGACAAAGGTCATTAGACATGGGCCTCTTTTTTTTTTTGAGACAGAGTTTTGCTCGTTGCCCAGGCTGGAGTGCAATGGCACCATCTTGGCTCACCACAACCTCCACCTCCCAGGTTGAAGTGATTCTCCTGCCTCAGCCTCCAGAGAAGCTGGGATTACAGGCATGCACCACCATGCCCAGCTAGTTTTTTGTATTTTTAGTAGAGATGGGGTATTTTCTTTGTTGGTCGGGCTGATCTCAAACTCCTCAACCTCAGGTGATCCACCTGCCTTGCTAGTGCTAGGATTACAGGCGTGAGCCACCGTGCCTGGCCATGGGCCTCTTTTTATAAGGACAACAGCCTTACTGGATTAAGGCCCACCCTAATGAGCACATCTTAACTTGTCTATGAAGACACATTTCCAAGTAATGTCACATTCACAGGTACGGGGGGTTAGGGCTTCAGCATCTTTTGAAGGGGACACACTTCAGCCCATAACAAGCTGTAACACACAGCCAGCATGCCCTGATGGGAGCTGGGAAAGTTTGGGGCTGGATTATGAGGGTGCTCAGTGAAGGGAGCTGGTATGTAAACTTGCATAGATGTATTTATTGAAATACGAGATTTTACACCTTGGCCAAGACTGGGTGCAGACTTGCTTCAAGGTTGGCTCCTAGAATGGCGGTCTATCTATTGCTACATACGTACATCACTCCACACTTAGTGGCTTAAAACAAGAATCATTTATTATCTCTAGGTTACTGTGGGTCAGACACAGTGTGGATTGGTTGTCTCTGTTCCACAGTGTTGAGGCCTCAGCTAGAGCAGCTCAGAGGCTGGAGGCTGGAATGATGTGATTTCATCTGCTCGAATGTCCGACAGCTGATGCTGGAGATTGGCTGCAGCCTAGATTGGGCACACTCCTGCATGCCACTCCCTGTGGCTGTGGCTTCCTCATAATACGGTGGCTGATTCCAAGAGCAATCTAAGGACAAAGGAAAGCTGTATGTTTTGTGAACCAGCCTCAGAAGTTACATATCATCACTTCTGCTACTTCCTATTTGTTAGAAATGAAATCACTAAATTGCCATATTCAAAGGTAGAGGAATTAGGCTTCACCTTCTAAAGGGAAGAATACAAAAAAATTTGCTGATGTGTTTTTAAAACACCATACTTGGAAAAGGCCATGGGCCATGGGAGGAGGATCACTTGAACCAGGGAGATCCAGGTTGTGGTAAGCCGTGATCAAGCCACTGCCCTCTCGCCTGGGAGACAGAGACCCTGTCTCAATAAAAAAAACTCTGGATATGTGAGAACTTTGGGGTCCTTGCAATAGGAGCCAGCAGGCCAACAGTGGAGTCACTGTCTTAGTAGTGGAGGAGGAAGTAGGGCTGCGGTTAGGTTCATTTTACAGTGAAGAACAGGTATGAAACCCAGGTGGTCAACATGGGTGCATCTTGGTACTCCTCTAGCCAACTGATTAAGAAACTAGAGTCCGACTTGTACATGTAAAGAGAGGGTCTGCCTCTTAGTTCCCAAACCCTGCAGTCTGGCTGTGAGGGAGTGAGCATAAAAATATGTGCTACTGGTTTAAGGCATGCACATAAAACATCACCCCAAACTTGTAAGATGTGATTTCCAAGCTGATGGAGACAACAGCCTTCATCTGGCCACTCCACCCTTCTGTCAGGGCAGTTGCTTCTGGCTGATGAGGCCAGTGAATCCTAAGTGTGTGTGAGGTCATTTCCTGCACTTGTGTTATTTTAAGATATACCTGCTGCTTTTTTTTTTTTTTTTTAATGAGATGGAATCTCGCACGGTCACCCAGGCTGTAGCTCAGTGGTGCAATCTTGGTGCATTGCAATCTCCGCCTCCTGGGTTCAAGTGATTCTCCTGCCTCAGCCTCCCAAGTAGCTGGGACTACAGGCGTGTGACACCAAACCCAGCTATTTTTTTATTTTGGGATTTTTAGTAGGGATGTGGTTTCACCATGTTGGCCAGGATGGTCTTGATCTCCTGACTTCGTGATATGCCCGCCTTGATGTCCCAAAGTGCTGGGATTATAGGCGTTAGCCACTGTGCCTGGCTTTTTTTTTTTTTTTTTTTTTTTTTTTTTTTTTTTTAATTTGAGATGGAGTCTCACTCTGTTGCCCAGGCTGGAGTGCAGTGGTGCGATCTCGGCTCACTGCAACGTCCACTTCCCAGGTTCAAGTGATTCTCCTGCCTCAGCTTCCCAAGTAGCTGGGACTACAGGCATGTGCCTCCATGCCTGGCTAATTTTTTGTATTTTTAGTAGAGATGGGGTCTCACCATGTTAGCCAAGATGGTCTTTATCTCCTGACCTCATGATCCGCCTGCCTTGACCTCCCAAAGTGCTGGGATTACAGGTGTGAGCCACTGTGCCCAGCCAAGATAATACCTGCTTTTAAGAGCCAATGTTGTGCAGAACTACAGCAATGGATAAAGCATGTGAGTCCAGTAATAGTGACACTGGCAGATAGCACTAAGGAGAGGGAAGCCCATTTGTGACTGGGGTTTACGTCTTCCTGGAGGACAAATCACTGCCTTCTTTTCCACAATGGATGGAACCAGGTTGCCATGTGAAAGTCTCAGCACTGGCCTCTGCTGTTGGCAGTTCAGGCACTCAGAAGTGGCAGAAGCTGGGGAGTCTTGGTGAAGAGAAATGTGTATTTTTTTGTTGTCGTTTTTGAGACGGAGTTTCGCTCTTGTTACCCAGGCTGGAGTGCAATGGCGCGATCTCTGCCTCCTGGGTTTAGGCAATTCTCCTGCCTCAGCCTCCTGAGTAGCTGGGATTACAGGTGTGCACCACCATGCCCAGCTAATTTTTCGATTTTTAGTAGAGACGGGGTTTCACCATGTTGACCAGGATGGTCTTGATCTCTTGACCTCATGATCCACCCGCCTCAGCCTCCCAAAGTGCTGGGATTACAGGCGTGAGCTACCACGCCTGGCCAGAAATATATATTGTTAAACCAGTGTTAAGCCTCCTTCCCTGCCACTGTTGCCACTTGTTATACGAGCTCACTCAGCATCATGTTGGCTAAAGAAAGAGGCTGACAGACATCCACAGGACAGGTCATTTTGTCCACCAAATTTCCTTTCTACAGTGGATGGCCTCTGGTGGGCATTTATGTGGAACTGATATCTCCACTTTGCCCATTCCCTGCATACCTGTGCTCAAAACTCTTGTTTTATCTTGACACAGGTTCTCAGCTCTGTCACCCAGACTGGAGTGGCATGATCATGGCTTACTGCAGCCTTAACCTTCTGGGCTCACGCAATCCTGCCTCAGCCTCTGAGTAGCTGAGACCACAGGGCCATGCCACCATGCCTAGCTAGTTTTTGTTCTTTACAGAGACAGGGTCTCACTATGCCCAGGCTGGTCTTGAACTCCTGGACTTAAGTGATCCTCCCGCCTCAGCCTCCCAAAGACATGAACCACTGAGCCTGGCACTGGAGATTTCCTTGAAACCATCCTTTGCAATCTTTTTCTGTTATCAACCAGCTGCAGTCAGTGACCCGCTGCACAGGAATGCTAGTAGATAAGCCTCTTTCCATATAAGATGGACAACCAGCTATACCCTCCCAAGTTTTGCCAACTGGAAATCTTCCAAATTCCAATCCTAAACTAGGATGTAGGGTAGCAACTTTTTTTTTTTGACAGCGTCTCGCCCTGTTGCCAGGCTAGAGTATAGTGGCACGATCTTGGCTCACTGAAACCTCTGCTTCCTGGATTCAAGCAATTCCCCTGCCTCACCCTCCTGAGTAGCTGGGACTACAGGCATGCACCACCATGCCTAATTTTTTGTCTTTTAGTAGAGACAGGGTTTCACCATGTTGACCAGGATGGTCTCGATCTCCTGACCTCGTAAGCTACCCACTTTGGCCTCCCAAAGTGCTGGGATTACAGGCGTGAGCCACTAGTGTAGCAACTGTTTATGGTTCATGCCATCATACCGTATGGATCCATTGGTAAAACAAGCCTGCATTTTTTCCTCTTCTGTCAGCTGTTCATAGGAAGCATCCTGTGAAATCAAAGATGTGGACTAAAGGAGAATGTAAAGTAGCAAAGGTGGCATCAGCCGGGCACGGTGGCTCACGCCTGTAATCTCAGCACTTTGGGAGGCTGAGGTAGGCGGATTACGAGGTCAGGGGTTTGAGACCAGCCTGACCAACATGGTGAAACCTGGTCTCTACTTAAAAATACAAAAAGTAGCCAGGGGTGGTGGTGCACACTTGTAATCCCAGCTAGGAGGCTGAGGCAGGAGAATTGCTTGAACCCGGGAGGCAGAGGTTGTGTGAGCTGAGAGCGTGCCATTGCACTCCAGCCTGGGTGACAGAGCAAGACTCTGTCTCAAAAAAAAAAAAAAGGAAAGGTGGCATCATGAGTTTGATCACTCACTTGGGTCACTTATGCCTTCTGAATCTGTTCAGGCATAGTTTTGTGTCTACTATTTCCAGTTTCAGTGGAAAGCTGCTGTTTATGTCTAGTTTTATGATTTGTTTTATAGGCTGTCTCCTCCTATAGTATGCCTTGTACTTTTGTGGGCTGTATCGGGCTCAGAGCTTTGGTATGGGCCTACAAGCAATGAAGGTGGTATTGTTGGGTTTTGGAATCAGCATCTCTCTGTGAGGCACTGTATTTGTTCTCACACTGCTATAAAGAAATGCCTGAGGCCAGACATGGTGGCTCATGCCTGTAATCCCAGCACTTAGGGAGGCCAAAACAGTGGGGGGGGGGCACCTGAGGTCAGGAGTTCAAGACCAGTCTGACCAATATGGTGAAACCCCACCTCTACTAAAAACGCAGAAATCAGCCAGGCATGGTGGCATGCACCTGTAGTCCCAGCTGCTCAGGAAGCCGATAGGAGAACTGCTTGAACCCAGGAGGCGCAGGTTGCAGTGAGCCAAGATTGTGCCACGGCACTCCAGCCTGGGTGATAGAGCAAGACTCCGTCTCAAAAACAAAAAAGAAAGAAATGCCTGAGACTGGATAATTGATAAAGAAAAGAGGTTTATTTGGCTCACGGTTCTGCAGGCTGTACAGTAAGCATGGTAGCTTCTCTTTTGGGGAGGCCTCAGGAAACTTGCTATCACGGCAGAACACAAAGGGGGAGCAAGGCACTTCACATGCCTGGAGTAGGAGGAAGAGAGAGGATGGAGGTGCCACACACTTGAACAGCCAGATGTCACGAGAACCCATTCACTATCACAGCACCCAGGTGCTAAAGCATTCATGAGAAGCTGCCTCCATGATCCAGTCACCTCCCACCGGGTCCCACCTCCAACACTGGGGATTACAATTCAACATGAGATTTAGGCAGAGACACAGATCCAGACCATATCTGGTACCCATCCCAGGTGCAATCATTAAAAGTTTCCTATTCAGGCTCCCTTATCCCTTTTTTCTCAATACCAATTAGCAAAGGTGATCCATTCCATTTCAGCAGGTGCAGACGGCAAGACATCTTCACTATCTGAGGGTCTCTGCTCAGACGCAGTATCATTCGGATTTGAGAGAGAGCTACATTAAAGAGGTCATAGTAATCGGTTCTAGTGAACAGGAAGTAGTAAGTACCCTAGATACCTTAGTAACAAAAGTGCTACATGGTAGGAGATAAATCCCATGAAAAACGGCACTTTGTATGGGGTTGTCTGTGGAGTATCCTGGTATCTCCTCTGAAGTGAAAGGCTGTACCTTCCACTGCCTACCACTAAGAAAGGCACCAAGCTGGGCTTGTTTGGATTTTGGATTCGACACATGCCAGTTTTGGGTGCGCTGCTCCAATCCATTATTGAAACCTAGAGCCAGTTAGTTTTGTTTTTGTTTGTTTTTTTCAGTCTCGCTCTGTCGCCCAGGCTGGAGTGCAGTGGCACAATCTCGGCTCACTGCAACCTATGCCTCCTGGGTTCAAGCGATTCTCCTGCCTCAGCCTCCCAAGCAGTTGGGATTACAGGCACCGGCCACCAAACCTGGCTAATTTTTTATTTTTAGCAGAGACCGAGTTTCTCCATGTTGGACCAGGCTGGTCTCAAACTCCTGACCTCAGGTGATCCACAGCCTTGGCCTCCCAAAGCGCTGGGATTACAGGCCTGAGCCACCAAGCCCAGCCTGAGGCTGTTTGTTTTAAGGGCATCTGGACAATAGAAGACCTGCGGCTTTGATGCGAGCTGTCCTCCTGCTCAGGATTTATGACCTCCAAGTTTCAGTGATGCTTAAAGGGTCTTTGCAATTAAGGGTGCCTGGGTGGTACTCCAGGATGAAGTTCCATTAGGACAGCCCCCCAGAGGATTTTGTTTTTGTTGAGACAGGGTCAGACTCTGTTGAGAGTGCAGTGGCACAATCACGGCTCACAATAGCATCAACCTCTTGGGCTCAAGCAATCCTCCCACCTCAGCCCCCTGAGTAGAGACTACAGAGGTGCAGCACCATGCCCAGCCGGCTAATTTCTTTTATTTTTGTAGAGACAAGGTCTTACTATGTTGTCCAGGCTGATCTTGAACTCCTGGGCTCAAGACCCCCAAGGTTTTGAAGTAAAGCTTTGCTTTTGGCTAGCAACTCTTTCACCTTTTGAAAAGCAGTATCTGAGGCTGGGCATGGTGGCTCATACCTGTAATCGCAGCACTTTGGGAGGCCAAGGTGTGGTGGCAGGTGCCTGTAATCCCAGCTACTCAAGAGGCTGAGGCAGGAGAATTGTTTGAACCCACACAGCAGAGGTTGCCATGAGCTGAGATTGCACCACTCCACCCTGGGCTACAGAAAAGACTCCATCTCAAGAAAAAAAAAAGAAGCAACATCTGACTTGTTCCTGGGTCCTGGCAGAGAACAGACACCTGCGTGTGGGATATGCTGTTTGAATGTGCACCCCAAATTTCACGTTTTGGAAACTCCATCTCCCCAGGTGGTAGTACAGAAGTATTGAAAGGTGGGGCCAGCTGGGTGTGGTGGCTCACACCTGTAACCCCTGCATTTTGAGACTCCATTAAAAAAAAAAAGAAAGAAAAAGGTGGGGCCTTTAGGAGGTGATTGGATTGGCTGGATGCAGTGGCTTACCACTCTAATCCCAGCACTTTGGGAGGCTGAGGCAGGCAGATCAAAAGGTCAAGAGATCGAGACCATTGTGACTAACACGGTGAAACCCTGTCTCTACTAAAGATATGAAAAATTAGCCAGGTGTGATGGTGTGCGTCTATAATCTCAGCTACTTGGGAGGCTGAGGAAGGAGAATCACTTGAACCTGGGAGGCGGAGGTTGCACTGAATGGAGATGGCCTGGGCGACAGAGTGAGACTCCTCAAAAAGAAAAAGAAGTGACTGGATCATGAGTGGATTAATGAGTTATTGTGGTAGTGGAGCCGGTGACTTTATAGGAAGAGACCTAGGCTAACATGTTCAGTGCCCTTGCCATGTATGCCACCTGGGACTCTGCAGTTTCCACCTGTACAAAGGCTTTCATCAGTGTGTCCCTTGACCTTGGACTTTTGTTTTGAGACAAAAGAGTCTTGCTCTGTCACCCAGCCTGGAGTGCAGTGGTGTAATCTCAGCTCACTGCAACCTCTGCCTCCCAGGTTTAAGGAATTCTCCTGCCTTAGCCTCCCAAGTAGTTGGGACCACAGGCTTGCGTCACCATGCCCAGCTAATTTTTGTATTTTTAGTAGAGACAGGATTTCACCATGTTGCCCAGGCTGGTCTCGAATTCCTGAGCTCAAGTGATCCACCCACCTTGGCCTCCCCAAGTGTTGGGATTATGGGTATAAGCCACTGCGCCTGGCCAACCTTGGACTTCTAAGCCTCCCTAACTGTAAGAAATAAGTTCGTTTTCTTTATAAATTACCTAGTTTCAGGTATTCTGTTGTAAGGAACAGAAAATGGACTAAAATGGGATATACCTATTAATACGCAGTTCACACTGCCCATCCTGCTGTGTGATCACCAAGCCACCTGCTGTAGTAACCTATCAGCCCTGGAGGTGCTGTGTCTGTGTGGTATAATAAACGTGGTTTTTGCCTCTGGCTCCCGGCAGAGCCCCTAAAATCCTTGGAATTTCCTGCAGTGTCTTTTGTATGAGGATCCCCTTTTACCCTTACCTGAGTTTACGTTAATGAGGTGATTGTGGTGGGGCCCCTTCCGGATGGGGGCTGGACACCAGAGGACCCAACCACATGACTGGAGGGTTTGGATTTCCGGCCCCACCCTCAAACCTCTGGAGAGGGGAGGGGCAGGAGGTTAGGTTCAATCATGTGATGATAATACAATCCATCATGACTATGTAATGAGGCCTTGATAAGAACTCTTGGACAATGAGGCTCAGGGAGGTTCTGGGTTGTGCTGGGAGGGCAGTGCACCTGCAGTGGTCACAGAAGCTCTGGGCCCCACACCTGTCCTCCTCACCTTTTCCACCATTTGGCTGTTCCTGAGTTGCACCCTGTATAATAAACTGGTAATCCCAAGATTAATAATAGAATGACTTTGAGTCATTCTAGCAAATTATTAAACCTATGGGGTCGGGGGTGAAAACCTCCCGAACTTATAATTGGCTGGGCAGAACTGCAGGTAGCCTGGGAACACCACTGGTTGATGTCTGAAGTGCAGACTGAGTCCTTAGCCTATAGGGTCTGTGCTAACTCCAGGCAGTATCAGAACTGAAGGACTTTAGGCCAGGCACTGTGGGTCATGCCTGTAATCCCAGTACTTTGGAAGGCCAAGATAGGAGGATCACTGAACCAAGGAGTTTGAAACCAGCCTGGGTAACAGGGAGACCCCGTCTCTACAAAAATAAATACATTAGTAATTAAACTAATAAATGAAGAACTGAAGAACTTGTCCTTAACTTGTGGGATCTGTGTCAATTCTGACTCTAGGTAGTGTCTGAATGGAACTGTAGGACAGGCAGCTGGTGTTAGAGAGATGAGACTCCAGGGGGCAGCATAGAGGCAGCTCAGGCTCTATTCACTCCTCCCGCTCTGGCAGGGGCGGAATGGAGGCAGCTCAGTCTCCACACACTCCTCGCGCTCTGTGGTCCCCTGCATATCTGTTCGTTACTATTCTGCACAGGAATTCGCTTTTTCTACCCGAAACCCATTTGCAGACTTCCCAAATTCCTAATTTATCATCCCTTCTGACCAGAGAACTTGACAGCAAGTATGACTCTAAGTGCATGGTTGTGCGATACCCTCATCTTACCCCAAACTCCTATCACTCAAGCAGCTCATTGAGTGCAAAGGCCCCCTGAAGGCTCAATGATGATGCCAGACTGAAGACAACACCCTGTCAATACGGAGTGCTACGATACAGGGTGTGGCACAGGCTTCTTGGGAACACTAGGTAGTGCCACTTCTCCTACAGACAGCATATGCCGGATTGGAAACATAAGAGCTGCTGATAGGAATGGCACCAAATAACGCCAGGAGGAATTTTTTGCTTCTCCTAACTGAATGCTGTTGTCCCGAGGGAGGACTGCTTCTACCATATGACGGTGGTACCTTTGAACTAGCGGTTGAGAGCGCGGCCTGAGCCAGTGCGCAGGGATGGGGTTACTGTACTAGCTGGTGCTACTGATGGCAACTGGTGAGGGAAATGGGGTGGCTCATACACAACGAAAACAGCAACATCTCTATCTGCAATCGAGCGTCTCCACGGGCACCTTTTGGTACTGAGGACTTTGAGGTTCAGTTGTGAAAGAAGAGTCCTCTAAAGAAAAGACCAGGCCAAGTGCGGTGGCTCAAGCCTGTAATCCCAGCACTTTGGGAGGCCGAGGCGGGTGGATCACGAGGTCAAGAGATTGAGACCATCCTCGTCAACAAGATGAAACCCTGTCTCTACTAAAAATAAAAAAATTAGCTGGGCATGGTGGTGCGCGCCTCTAATCCCAGCTACTTGGGAGGCTGAGGCAGGAGAACTGCCTGAACCCAGAAGGCAGAGGTTGCGGTGAGCCAAGGTCATGCCATTGCACTCTAGTCTGGGTAACAACAGTGACACTTCGTCTCAAAAAAAAAAAAAAAAAAAAGACCATTAAGGCCTCAGATCTTTCAGGAAGGAGGTTTCAGTCACTCCAAGGTGCTGACAGGACTGGAAAACAAGGACTAGGTGATGGATGAAGACAGGAGTATCAACTAGAGGCTCATGACAAGTTGCAAAAACAAGAACTGCAGCATTTTAAACTTCAGGGTACACACTGATCACTTCCCCCTTCCTAATTTGATATGATGTTATTGGTGCATTAACTTTATAAACTAGTTGGTAAGTCACCAAACCACAAAGGGCTGCCCCAGTCCTGAAGAAGTCTGTATTACCTGAGGCGCCTGGACCATGGAGAGATGCCCCATGGGCCCTGGGATTATAGGCGGGTGCCACCACGCCTGGATAATTTTTTGTATTTTTAGTAGAGATGGTTTCCTCATGTTGGTCAGGCTGGTCTTGAACTCCTGACCTATTGATCCACCCACCTCCGCCTCTGCCTCTGCCTCCGCCTCCCAGAGTGCTGGGATTACAGGTGTGAGCCACCGCACCCAGCCTACCCACTAAATTTAATATTTAAAAAAGACTTTGCCATGTTTACTTCATATACATTTTCGTGTTTTTTAAGGTTAAACAGCCATATCGTATACAATTTCAAAGCAAATTGTATGGCTGTTTAACCTTAAATAATTCAGCATACAACCCCTAAGGAAATCACTCTCTTACATAACCATCATCACATCTAAGAAAATTAACAATCCTCCTAGAATCTATCCAGTACAGATTCAAATTTACCCAGTTACCCCGCCAAAATCTCTTAAGTCGCTCCCTCCCGAGTCGGGTTTTGTGCATTGCCTCTGGCGACAGCTCCCTGGCTACTTTAACCTTAAGCAGGCGCCTCACATTCGCCTTTGCACCGTCTCTGATTAAACGAGGGCGGTTAACTGTACATTTGATTTTATTCCTCCTTCAATAAATGGTAAGTTAGGGCTGGGCGCAGTGCCTTAAGCCTGTATTCCCAGCACTTTGGGAGGCCAAGCAGAGGAGGATCACTTGAAGCTAGGGGTTCAAGACCAGTGTGGGCAACAGAATGAGACCCCATCTCTACTTAAAAAAAAAAAAAAAAAAAAGTGTGGCAGTATGTGCCTGTGGTCCCAGCTACTTGGGAGGCTGAGGCAACAGGGCTGCTTGAGCCAGAAGCCAGGGAAACGAAGTGAAACCCTGACTGTAAAAGAAATACAAAAATTAGTGCCAGGCATGGTGGTACATACCTTAGTCCCAACTACTCGGGAGACTAAGCAGGAGGATCGCTGGGGCTCCGGAGGTCAAGGCTGCAGTGAGTTGTGACCACGCCTCTGCACCTCAGCCTGGATGACAAAGCAAGGCCCCGTCTCCAAAAATAAAAATTTTATGCCTGTCAAGTACATTTTTGGGTAAAGGGTCCTTGGCTAGGTATTACTATGTAGTCTAAGTGAGTATGAATGAAACAAAAAAGCATGGCTGGCTGGGCACGGTGGCTCATGCCTGTAATTCTAGCATTTCGGGAGGCCGAGGAGGATGGATCAGTTGAGGTCAGGAGTTCGAAACCAGCCTGGCCTACGTGGTGAAACTCCGTCTCTACTAAAAATAAAAATGTTAGCCAGGTGTGGTGGTGTGCACCTGTAATCCCAGCTACTCGGGAGGCTGAGGCAGGAAAATTGCTTGAGCCTGGGAGGCGGAGGTTGCAGTGGGCAGAGATCGCATCACTGCACTCCAGCCTGGGCAACAGAGTGAGACTCCCTCTTAAAAAAATAAAAATAAATAAAAAAAGCATGGCCGTAAGAGGTGGATACACAGTGGCAACATCTTAAAAAAGTAAGAAACCAAGGGAGCAAGAACAGCAGGTGAGCGGCCATTCAAGAATGCTTTAAGTTCCACGGAAAACGTCTGGCTTCTGTCTGTTTTATTTTTTTAGCCAGTGAGAAAAGCAAACTGTATAAAATGGACAAAACAATACAAGGGCTATTCATAAACAAAACAGTGATTACATTTTATTCCTTTTTGGGTTGTTCTGTTCTTATTTTTAAGTGAAGTTTCCATCTATACACTTTAAGAAAATAAACACAACAACAGAAAGCCATTCTCTGTGTCCATCCTGGAGGCAGGAAGGATGGGTCTGTCGACACGCACAGAGCGGCACAGCCAGGGTTGTGCGTTACCTCACGAAGGTCACGTGCCTGAAACACACGAAGGGTTCCACGGAAAACACTCCATCTGGCTGTGCAGCCATGCGTCAAGGTGAGGACAAGTACTTAATTCAAGGCATCTGGGGGCTGGTGTCACGGCACGTGCAGAGTAGTGCCCATGCCATCCCACGAGCTTCTGTGGGAAAAGGGAAAAACAAATCTTTTCCTCAAATAGAATTGTCACAGGTAAGAGCCACAGGATTTTATTCAGTGCTTAATCTTCTGGTGGCAGGATTTCTTTGAAACAGAATCTGCAAATAAATAAAAATGAGGCAGCAAATTTGTTACAAGGCTTCGCACATCTTTTGAAAAGAATTTCACAATTTTACACTGTCACTGAATTCATGTAAATTTTGGTAAAAATATGAATTATACAGTGGTTTAAAGTATGATATTTATGAAACACTGGTCGAAATATAATCTTTATGTTTGCTATCAATTTAAGAGAAAGAACAAAAAAGTCCAGACAGTGATTAAGTCAGACTGACCGCAGCACAGAACGCTGAGCGGACTTTTGTGAGATTCCCCACTTATAACCAACATTCGAACGCTGTGACACTGACCCTCCAGACTGAAACTCAGTTCTACCATGCTGAACACTAGCCAGCTTTCAATGGGCCCTCCATGTCCAGGGTACAGTGACGATGCCTGATAAACACCCAGCGAGGATGTGCATTACCTGCTATCGCCCCGCCGAGCCTTTGCTGGATCACTTCTAAATGGTGAATATACTCTGTCAAAGAATGTTCTGGATCTTGAGAAGCGGTCAGAGATCTTTCTAATCTTGAATTTGGGGATGGAGTGGCTCTTCAAACAAATTACCACCAAGGGGAGAAAAAAAAAATTGTTGAGTTTGACAGAGGGAGCCATGGTGCGTGAGTGCGGAAGAAAGGTGCCAGCCAGCCAGCCCCGTGGGGATGGATGACTCGGGGCTGTTTCCTTCAGATTCTTTCTTACAAAAAGTGCTACAGTGGTTTAAAAGCCACCTTCTGTGCAATGTTCCAGAGTAAAGACTATTGTCTATTACTTTGTTTGCTAAATCTTCGACAATGTACCTGCTACGCAACCTGGATTATGCACCAGGTCCCACCTGCCTTTCCTCATCTTCCCGTACTGTTGCTTTGTCTGGGGTGATACCTGCCCTGCTCAGTCCTCACCTTGGTCGCCCTTCCTCCTAGCCTTCTACCGGGCCCAGGGAGCACCAGGGGTTTCACTTTTCCGTCTCCACCCAGAGCTTCCAAGAATCTTCAGGGCAAGGAACGTGCCTTCTTCACCTGGGCACATCCCTCACAAAAGGGGCCCTCAGCCACCATAACCTGCCACCATAACTAAAGATCACAGCACCAGCCTCTGGGGGACCAGAGCCACCAGACAGAAAATTCAGGCCCTCCCCCAAAACAGAAATGGACTTCTAGGCCCTCATGGATTCACACTAGAGTTTCCTGCCTTGCTCTGGGCTGAGCCAAAGCCAGAACTTTAAAGATGAATTTCCCTGAGAACCTATGTAGGCTGGAGGGAGAGCACTGGCAGGACAAAGACCTGAAGACATCACCACTGACCTTTCCCCACTGTGCGGGGAGGCTGCTGCTGCCCGTCCATGGCCTCTGGCGGGGTCTCTGGCGTGGACCAAGGGCACATCCCGGGTTGGGGGGGACTCTCTGGTTCTGGCTGGAGACTGCTGTGGCCGTCGTGCTCGGGGTCCTTTCCCAGAATTATTTCACGACAAAGGGATTAGGAAAAGAAATGAATGCATTTTAGTAAAGGCCCATATATCAAAATTTTAAATATATAAACTTGTAAGAGTCTGTATGGCAATTTTGAGACATTTTTTAAAGTATCCAAATTACAGTATTATCTTTTTAAAAGCTTGGAAGCAACCTGAGCTTTGATTATCTGCATCCACAAGGGCAGCCCATCTCTAGGGGAGTGCCGGGGGTCTCAGGTAAGACCTGCGTGGGGGTCCTGTCAGTTCTGAGAGCTGGCTGAGGAGGAAGGAGGGGAAGGAACCCTGGAGACCACCAGGTGTGACTCAGAGGGGCAAACTTTCCTGATGACCAGAAGGCTGAATCAAAGCATGTTAATTTCAAGAAGCACCTATTAAAATGCAGAAGTCGAAACTGATTATAGCTGCCAGGCACAGTGCTCAGGCCTACAGTCCCAGGTACTCAGGAGGATGAGGAGGGAGGATGCCTGAGCCCAGGAGTTCACGGCTGCAATGAATTGTGACTGTAACATTGCCTTTGAGCCTGGGTGACAGAGCAAGCCCGTCTCTAGACAACAACGACTTGCAGAGGCACTTCCAGGAATGCCCAGTCACGGTGGCAGTCGGCAGTGGCTCAGGCAGCCCAAGCCCGCAGGCCCAGGGAGCTGCATGCCTACCCCACGACGCCTGCCACTCTGGGACAAGAGCCCCTGGAAATGCCCTGCTTTGGGGCTGGCTCCTTCGGCACTAGTGCAGCCAGCTATGCTCTCTGCTGTGGGGGGTAACGGCATGGCAGAGAACTCCTGAGACCAAGCAGTGAGTGAGCCGGAAATAAGCATGACGCTCTACAAGGAAAGAGGCAGTGGCGGGAAGTGAGTTTCAGCTGCTCTGGGGAATAAAGGCCATTTCGCTAACCACTAAGAAAGAATCAACATACTGAGCATCTCAGGGTTTCCCACCGCTGCACGCCCCCATGAACCACGTTCACAGTGAACGCAAGCCTTGACCTCCCTTCACTGCGCACACCCTGCCTCTAGACCACGTCCTGACAGACTTCATGGATTCTCTTACCATGCTTATTACATCCCCAGGAACACTGAAATATGATCCAGAAGTTAATGAAAACGCTACAAGGAGTAGGAAGCAAGGTCTGTGGTCCAGCTGTTAATGGGGCAGGAGCCTCACCTGGGCAAGGGGTTAATGGGGCTGGAGTCTCACCGGGGCAAAGGGTTAATGGGGTGGGAGGCTCACCTGGGCGAGGGGGTTAATGGGGAGGGAGCCTCACCTGGCCGAGGGGTTAATGGAAAGGGAGCCTCACCTGGCCGAGGGGTTAATGGGGAGGGAGCCTCACCTGGCCGAGGGGTTAATGGAAAGGGAGCCTCACCTGGCCGAGGAGTTAATGGGGAGGGAGCCTCACCTGGCCGAGGGGTTAATGGGGAGGGAGCCTCACCTGGCCGAGGGGTTAATGGGGAGAGAGCCTCACCTGGCCGAGGGGTTAATGGGGAGGGAGCCTCACCTGGCCGAGGGGTTAATGGAAAGGGAGCCTCACCTGGCCGAGGGGTTAATGGGGAGGGAGCCTCACCTGGCCGAGGGGTTAATGGAAAGGGAGCCTCACCTGGCCGAGGGGTTAATGGGGAGGGAGCCTCACCTGGCCGAGGGGTTAATGGAAAGGGAGCCTCACCTGGCCGAGGGGTTAATGGGGAGAGAGCCTCACCTGGCCGAGGGGTTAATGGGGAGGGAGCCTCACCTGGCCGAGGGGTTAATGGGGAGGGAGCCTCACCTGGCCGAGGGGTTAATGCAGAGGAAGCCTCACCTGGCCGAGGGGTTAATGGGGAGGGAGCCTCACCTGGCCGAGGGGTTAATGGGGAGGGAGCCTCACCTGGCCGAGGGGTTAATGCAGAGGGAGCCTCACCTGGCCGAGGGGTTAATGCAGAGGGAGCCTTACCTGGCCGAGGGGCTCTGCCTTGTGCCAGGGCTCCTTTCCGATCTACTTCTTGCCATTTCTTAACCAAAAAACGCAATCTACAAAAAAAGGAGACAAGACACACTTAAAAGTACAACAAAACTGGAAGGGAAAGAACAAAGAAAGCCCCACTGACTAAACACACACATGGGCCCTCACTGCCCACCAGGACCAGGATGCCGAGGTCAGCCAGTCTGTTCACTCAGGCCTGGCTGCCAGGTGCACGCATCCAAAGTGCTGGCGGGGCTGCCGGCGATGGAGACCTTCCCACGCATGACCACCTGACAAAGCCTCACGACGGCCCCATTGTGGACCATCCGGCCCCCCTCCCCCAGACACCTGCCACGGCCCAGCCCAGGACGACTCCAGTTCACAGCCAGCCAGACTGGTGACTGGGAAACACACCGCTCCCACCTGGTGCCCAGGACCCTCCCATCTTCCTGTCACAGATGCCACTGGACAAGCTCAAAACACGGAGACCCTAGCCCTCGCGGGAGCCCGTCAGATGGCAAGCACACAGGGTGTGGGTGACGGGAGCATGCAGGGTCGGGGTCCAGGGCCCCAGACACCCCCGCCAGGATGGTCTTCAGGACAAGCATCGCATCTGTGGCTTCCCTCCTCTGAGGCACGGCAGATGCTGCCGATTCCTCCACGAGACCCATCAAGGCCCCTTGGTGGCAGCTACCCTAGGCAGTGCTCTCACAGGGACACACGGACTGCCCCTGTCTGGGACACTGCTGCCTTTGAATGCTCTCCCCTCCTCAACAGGAAGACCCTGGATGTAGGGTCTGGGTCTGCTGACCTTCCCCATCTAGTGCCTAAAATGGTTCCTCATGCAGGCCGTTCTCCCCACAAACATAGGATGGACAGCTGGGTGGGTGGAAGGATGGACAGTGGAGGCCTATGGTCAGGAGAGCTCAGAGACAAGGAGACACAGTGCCCCAGGGCCAGAGAGGCTGAGAGCACAGCACCCCAGGAGGCCTTGCCTGCACCTGACTCTGCCTGGCCCACAGCCCTGATGACCGAACTGGCTCAGGGCCCGGTCTCGGAAAGTAGCAGGCCTCCTGGCTGCTCTCTGCTGCATCTGCCCCTCCAGACAGGCCCACACACAGCCTTGGCAAACACCTCTCTGTGGGCATCAGAAGCAGGCACAGCTGCACAACGTTCAGGGGGAAAACACTGTTAGAAATCCAGCACGTTCTAAAACTAGGAAATGAAAAAAAAAATTCGTGGCATGAAACCCATTAAAAGGCAAAATGGGCCAGGCGCGGTGGCTCACGCCTGTAATCCCAGCACTTTGGGAGGCCGAGGCGGGTGGATCACGAGGTCAAGAGATCGAGACCATCCTGGTCAACAAGGTGAAACCCCGTCTCTACTAAAAATAAAAAAATTAGCTGGGCATGGTGGCGCACACCTGTAGTCCCTGCTACTCGGGAGGCTGAGGCAGGAGAATTGCCTGAACCCAGGAGGCGGAGGTTGCGGTGAGCCGAGATCGCGCCATTGCACTCCACCCTGGGTGACAAGAACTAAACTCCGTCTCAAAAAAAAAAAAAAAAAAAAAACTAAACAAAAACGAAAACATAAAAAGGCAAGATGTTCCTCTGCAATACAGAGCTCTCCTTAAATCTGCAGTTTCAGAAGGTGGCAGCTTCATACGTGACTTCCTGAAGACAAGTTCATCATCTCTATTTTCTTTAAGGTCTCCAATGCCATTCATCTTATAAAACAGAATATATTACAGAGTTTCATGAAATAAAATCACCTAAAAGCATGTAGCGTGCTGCCCGTTCAGAGACAGACGCAGAACGTGCTGACTGAATGTGGCGGCACTGACCTTAATATCGCGATGACCACCCTGACAGCCGTGCGGAACTTGGTGAAGGGACGAGACGTGATCTTCCGCTCGGCTTTGGAAGGAAATACCCCCAAATGGGCAATCATGGAGAGCGTTTCTTGTTCAGAATCCTGGAATCCGCCAATCAACAGCAAAAGATACTTCTTTTGATAAATCAGAGCTTTTCTAAAGCTCTCTGCTCTCAAATAATGTAGGTATAATTTTTCCGTCTAAAAAAAAACAGTAAAGTTTTATCATAGGAAACAAAGACTATCTTGCTGACAAAAGCACATTTACACCATTGCTCTTGGCAAAGAACCATATTGTTTCTTCTCAGCAATCATCACAGAGGTCATCATCCTTGCAACTGTATCTGTGGCCAGAAACAACCTTGCTGTTCAAAGATCAATCTGTATTAGTCAGACAAAGCTCCTCCCTACAGCATGATCAGATGAGCCCCTATGAGGGCTCCTTGATAGCCACTTAGGTTAGGTCCGAATGGGGCACGGGGGTGGATGTCAGTCACAGGGTGGGGGCTGTGCCATCGGGAGACTGCCGAGGAGCTTCGGCCAAATCCCGGCACGTCCTGGGCCAGGGCTCCTGCAGGCTGCAGAGGCTGTCACTTGCTGGCTTCGTCAAAGCTGTCCATGTTCCCACGCTTAACTCACAAGCACAGAAACTCAGTATTTGTCCACAACTAAACCAAGATGCAAACCACAGTTTATTCTGTCCAACTTCCTTTCCTTTCAGCGATTTGACTGCTACACCTGGTAGACGAGAACCTTGTGGTCACGAGAATGCTTTGCCTGCAATTTACAATCCCAGGACTTAAAAAAGCACCAAAATTCTATACTCAGGACACTGTCCCTACCTTGACGTTGCTGGTGTTGGCTTCCCTGCTGGCAGCCAATGGAAGCCGGCCAGGGTCTGGGCACCTCAGGGAACTCTCTGGAACCGTTTCATCTGGCTTCCAAGCAGACCTGTCCGGCCTCTGTAAGGAAGCACAGCCAGCACTGTCTACAGAGCTGCTCGTCAGCAAGAGCAGGTTAGGAGAGACACGTTCCCACCCCACGCGCAGAAGGCCGTGTGCGGGGAGACCAGGCTGACCACACCAGGCCTGGCCTCTCCTCATCCTCAGCACGGTCTAGCTTACTCCGTGCTGTGGTCAGTCAAGGAATTAACATGCGGTAACTATGACATGCCACTTGCTGAAGTATGACTGCAAAAAAGGTACACTTTAGTAGGTCACAGAAAACCATGTATTTATAAAATCACCCCAAATTCAAAGCTTGAAGCCTTAAACACTCTCATATTCTCTGGTCCTACTAATGCCAATCACTGGAAACTGCAAATGCAGTCAGCTCTCTACATCTGTGGATTCAGCCGACGGCGCGTGAAAAATACTCAGAAAAAGTATGTCTGTATCAAACGTGTGCACTTTTTTCTTGCCCTGCACCCTAACAACACAGGATCATAACTATTTCTGTAGCATTTCCACCGAGTGAGGTGCTGCGAGTGATCGTGGAGGTGACTGAAGAGTGTACGGGAGGACATGCATAGGCTGCCTGCTACCACCACCTCAGGTCAGGGGCCGAAGCAGGAGGATCCCGAGCCTGGGAGGTCAAGGCTGCAGTGAGCTGTGATTGTTCCACACTCCAGCCTGGGAGACAGAGCAAGGCCCTTCTCAGAAAAAAACCCAGAAGTGAAAGAGACCGGTGTAAGAGGTCCCAAGCCATCTGGTTCCACTTTTCATATTTTTAAATTTTATTTTTCAAGAGTTTTTTTTTCCTCATGAACCTTCTTTGGTATTATTTGCCATGACACTCTCTGCCAGTCACAGTACTCCATTTTCTTGTTCACAGTGTTTTGTGGTTTGTTTGTTTTTCGAGACGGAATCTTGTTCTGTCACCAGGTTGGAGTGCAGTGGCGAGATCTCGGCTCACTGCAACCTCCGACTCCCTGGTTCAAGCGATTGTCCTGCCTCAGCTTCCCAAGTAGCTGGGATTACAGGCACGCACCACCACACCTAGCTAATTTTTGTACTTTTAATAGAGATGGGGTTTCACCGTGCTGGCCAGGATGGCCTTGATCTCCTGACCTCAGTCTCCCAAAATGCTGGGATTACAGGCATGAGCCACCACACCTGGCTGTTCATAGTGGATTTGTTGAGGATAAGCAACCTGGCCAAAGAAGAGCAAAGTCATTGCCACAGAATTTTAGAATGAGAAAGAAAGTATATTTTTGGTTGCCCAGAATAAAACAGGTAGAGCTAGGTGCTCAGATTTCCAGCCACATGGTCCTAGAAAACCACCTGCAGGAAGACAGACTACAGCACAGAGGCACAGCAACAAGAGAAAGGGGAGATTCTGTCCTTGGTCCCAACACCCAACACATTCCTGCCCTTGAGTCTTCCCGGTAAACTTGAAATAAATTGTCATTGCGGATTCCTCTGATATGGTTTCTTGAGTGTGTATCATAACTAGAAGAGTCTGAATCAAGCAAAAGATGCCTCTTCAGTCATACTGGAACCTTTCTCTAGCCATGCCCTCCACAGAAACCCAAGGGGATGTGTCCACCTGGAGCCCACATTCCCCAGAATCCCCTTCAGGAACCTCTTCCCTGGACTGATGAATTGAGGGAGGTGAAGGTTGCAGTGAGCTGAGATCACACCATTGTACTCTAGCCTGGGTGACAGAGTGACTGACACTCTGTCTCAAAAAAAAAATAGAAAAAGAAAATTATATGTCACTTTAAATAAAACTCTAAATTCGAGCAGATTATTACATTCTCAGTCAAAATACCCTTTGGTTTTTTTTTTTTTCCTGAGATGGAGTTTTGCTCTTGTTGCTCAGGCTGGAGTGCAATGGCACAGTCTCGGCTCACCAAAAACTCCGCCTCCAGAGTTCAAGTGATTCTCCTGCCTCAGCCTCCCACGTAGCTGGGATTACAGTCAACGCTACCACGCCCAGCTAATTTCTGTATTTTTAGTAAAGACAGCATTTCTCCATGTTGATCAGGCTGGTCTCAAACTCCCAACCTTAGCTGATCCACCCACCTCAGCTTCCCCATTGCTGGAATCACAGGTGTGTGCCACCACGCCCAGCCCTAACACACCCTTTAATGAATATTAAAGTGAATATTCAGTGAAGCAGCCAGTCTGCTGAGATGGTCAAACATCCACCACACTCAGAAGACTTCAAACAGATGTCGGAGCCCGCACCCCAGGTCCCTGGAGGCAGCCCAGCCTCCTGGGTTGAGCTGCGCTGGATCAGGGCAGTCGGGCTGGGGCAGGTGAGAGTTCAGCACAGATACCTACACTGGGGGTACAGCCCTTCTGCAGGTGATGCTTCATCATCTTCTCAAGCTTTGCCACTGCCCTGCTCAGCTCCAGCTTCTCCCGCGTCACTGTGCTGAGGGCTTTGGTGAGGGAAACGTTGTCTTTCAGCAGGACGTCCACAAACTGGAGCTGCAGCTCTGCTGCCGCTTTTTTCTTGGAGAAAAGAAAATAAATTTCTGAGAATTTGTTGCTAAAGGGCATGTACATTATTTGTGTTTTTTTGTCAAGTTGCTTTCAGGAATTATAATTAACGTGTCTAGGGTTCAATGCGAAGCTTGTCGGGCTGGCAGAAAACTGTAAAAGTCGTCGAATCACAGACTTTCCACAAAACTGGCTTCCATGAGCGACGCAGGCCTGTCGCAAGGCAGAGACTATTTGGTGTTCCCACGGCACCTTCCTTAACAGGTGGCTGGATCGCTATTAGTTCCTCCCAAGGGGGCAGATGTGAAGCCCCTCACAACAGGCTTACTACTTCCACCCCAAAAGGACGTTCAGCCTACGGAGGGTGGGCACACTGAAGGCCACCAATGCCCAACATGGGCAGGGTGCACCGCACCCACAATGACGCTGTGCAGCTCTCTGGCGGCTCACATGCCCGGGCTCCATGATAAAAGTCACAATTCCATAAATGCCACAGAACACGCATCAGGAAGTTATAATAGCAGTCAGATTCCCAACTCCTCCGGAGGCAGCTTACAGTGAGCTCAGACTTTCCCAAGAGGACTTGAGTTTCTGTTTCTAGCAAAGGCCATCCAAACAAATACAAAGCCAGCAGGCTGGGCCAGGCAGAGGTGAGCATCAGCCCCCAGAGCCGGAGCAGAGCAGAACCATGGCCCTCCAGACCAGCAGCTGCGGGATGTGCGCGGGCCACGCACGGTGAGCGGCACGTGGGGAGGGGGTCCACATAGTCATGCAGCATTCCGTGGGCAGCAGGGCTCAGCCCCCGAAGACACACAAGTGACCCAGGACATGGAGGACATCCGTCTCCACTTGGCCCAGAGGGATCGGCCCCCACCAACTCACCCAGATAGCAACCATAACGTCAGAGAAGACATCAGAGATAACAGGGAGGGAGGAGAAACAACCGAACAGCGTACTAAAGGAACCACAAAGCCACCGAGAGGCCCTCGGGGGAGGCGCCGGGGCAGGGACCTGGGGATGCTCACCCCTTACCTGGGAGGAGGTGGGCCTGCTCAACTCAGACTTCAGCTCCTCCAACGTGTGCAGTAAAGACGCCCCTGCTTTCTGATTGGATGATGTCCAATCATTAATTGTCCTGTAAAAATAAATGGGCACCTAAAGGTTCATGCACACCCCAAGTAACCATTATCCAAAACTACAGAAGAACTGTCTGCTCACAAGAGACAAAGAGAAGACAGGTTCCTGAGGAGCCTGTGTGTGAATCATCGTCCAGCCATGAGGCACAGAGGGAAGCCCACAGGGGCAACAGGCCTGCGGGGAGACGCTTTGCAGAGCTCAGAGACCTCCAGCACGGGAAGCCAGTGTCTGCCATGCCTGCAGCTTTCTACCAGAATTAATGATTTAAACCGCTGTCCTAAATGAAACTTGGCTTAGAAATCATGCTGCTTGGTCGGGCATGGTGGCTCACGCCTGTAATCCCAACACTCTGGGAGGCCGAGGTGGGCTGATCATGAGGTCAGGAGTTTGAGACCCACCTTGCCAGCATGGTGAAACCCTGTCTCTACTAAAAATACAACAATCAGCTGGGTGTGGTGGCGGGCACCTGTAATCCCAGCTACTCAGGAGGCCGAGGCAGGAGAATCGCTAGAACTCGGGAGGCGGAGCTTGCAGTTGCAGTGAGCCCAGACTGCACTACTGCACTCCAGCCTGGGAGACAGAGCAAGACTCGGTCTCAGAAAAAAAAAAAAAGAAATCATGCTGCTCTCTCAATTAAGTCCAAGTATAGAAAGAACTGTATTGGCTGAGTTCATTAGCATTACTCTTTCTGTCCATATGAAACATCACAATCATCATCCTGGTCGTGAGTGGCCTCGAGTGACCCAGACACTAGGCAGTGCCAGCCTGGGGGGCACAGGAGGCTCCAAACCCAACCCTCTGGGTGGTGAGCAACTTCACAAACTATCAAGAGAATCAACCCACCTCAAAGAAACATGGAAACCTCACGTTAGGCGTATTCTGAATCGCAGGATTTTTTCTCTAACGTTAGAATGTGCAAGTGGCACCCTGCCATTCCAGAATCCCTGAAGAGAGTCCCGAGAAGAGGACTAGAGCGTTAAGTGCAAAGGAGCAGGGGCTTCACACCAGACGTGCCCACGCCCTCAGGAAGGCTCTCAGACAGACACGTGGCTGCAAGGGCCTGGTGGGCGCTGGGTGGTCAGGTGCATACCTGCCCATGGCCTGGCTGGCGAAGCTGGTGAGGAGCCCCGCAGCACAGAGCAGCCGCTGCCTCATGGCCTCCAGCTCTTGCTGCTGTTCCCGGAGGTGGTCCACGTCCGAGCTGGCAGCCCCGTGGGCAGAATCTGGGTGGAGGCGGCCACCAGGTGCCTCATCCTTCGACTCCAGGTCTCTCACCATCTGCTGAAGCTGCTTGATCTTATGCAAGTCACGCTGACGCTGCAGTTCTAATTCCCGCTGTTGTTAACAGAAAAAGGAAAAGATGTTCATGTGCGTGTCCGCAAACAAAACTGCTGGCTGGGGCAGCGGCTCACACCTGTAAGCCCAGCACTTTGGGAGGCCAAGGTGGGCGGATCAGCTGAGGTCAGGAGTTTGAGACCAGCCTGGCCAACATGGAGAAACCCGTCTCTACTAAAAGTATAAAAATTAGCTGGAAATGGTAGCACACATCTGTAGTCCCAGGTACTCAGGAGGCTGAGGCAGGAGAATGACTTGAACCCAGGAGGCGGAGGTTACAGTGAGCTGAGATTGCGCCACTGCACTCCAGCTGGGGCACAGAGCTAGACTCCACTCCAAAAAAAACCAACAACCAAAAAACACTGCCAAACCGGCCAGATGCAGTGGCTCACGCCTGTAATCCCAGCACTTTGGGAGGCCGAGATGGGTGGATCACAAGGTCAAGAGATCAAGACCATCCTGGCCAACATGGTGAAACCCTGTCTCTACTAAAAATACAAAAAAACTGGCCGGGCGTGGTGACACGTGCCTGTAGTCCCAGCTACTCGGGAGACTGAGGCGGAAGAATCGCTTGAACCCAGGAGGCGGACGTTGCAGTGAGCCGAGATTGTGCCACGGCACTCCAGCCTGGTGACAGAGCAAGACTCCATCTCAAAAAAAAACAAAAACAAAAAAACTGCCAAGCAAAAGACCAAAACACACAGTCACGTTACAGGGAAGGCCCCTCACAGACCAGAAACAGGCCCTTGGGCAGGCAGCCTCTGCGGTCCTCCACTGGGACCCACAGCCAGATGCACCGCACACGGGCATTCATGCCAACATAGACGTGGACAGGCACAAATGTGCATGTGAACGTGCACACATGTACGAGCCTGAGTGTGGGCCTGGGGCTGAGCCTACATGGCCACGTGGTCCTGGGCCCCTATGTCAGACCTCGAGGAGCAGCAACCTTCCCTTCTGTAGGATGGGGGCCCAGGCCATGTCTGGTGCCCAGGAGAGGCATGTCAGCAAGTACCTGAGCCCCTGCCCAGCACACAACTCCTTCCAGGAGAGGGACAGAAAGTCCACTGCATGGCAGGGCAAGGAAGGGCGGGCAGCCTCTGAAGGGCCTCGGGTTTCCCAGTCCTGCTGGGGCTTTCTTGTGACAAGACAGATCTGGCGGGAAAAGGCCCAAAGTGCAGACACACAGAGGCGGCTCACCATGTCAGGGAGGGTCCCCAGCACTAAGTGGAGGCCACCTGGCCCGGAGGATGCTCAGCTGAGCCTGCACTGCATGGCACCAGTGCCCCTGCCACTGTGGTGACCAGGGTGCAGCTCGGACTCCACCTTCCTGACAGCGCCTCACTAATGCTCAGGCCTTGTAAGCAAACAGGAGTCATTATATTTTCTATTTTCTAGTAAGAAAAGTAAGATACAGATGAACTGATGAAATTATATTATTTAGAAAAGATGGAATTGTCTCTGGCATACCACTATCTTGGGAGGCTTCAACGGCTTCAGCTAGAGAAGGTTCTGTGATCCAGATCAAATTCACCATCCTCAGTAAAGCGAACTTGGGAAGGGCCACCTCACTAAAAATCACGTCAAGGTGCATCCTGAAGGAAAGCTACTAACGCAACTTAGAAAACATTTTCTTCGTATTTCTTTTTGAAGCACTCATGTTACCATTCTTTTCAATAAAGAATCTACACTAAATAAAAGGTTTTGGCTGGAAACTTCAGGCATGGTTTCAAGCAAGCAAAGACTCCCTTGAGCACCCCATGAAAGGCAGAGCCCTTGTCTGGGAAAAAGGTAAACTCCCACCTCAAGTCTCAACTAAGCCAGGGTACTGTGCTGCCACAAAGCCGCAGCGGACGCTTTTGCCATGCTTGGCCACACTGTCTGCACCACCAAACCACCTCCCTGCTCACCAAGGCTTCTGGAAATAAAACACTACAAGTATTCCGAAGAGGTGGGTTGTTTTTGAGGCAGAGTCTAGCTCTTGTTGCCCAGGGGTGCAGTGGTGCAATCCTGGCTCACTGCAACCTCAAAAGACTCCCAGGTTCAAGTGAGTCTCCTGCCTCAGCCTCCTGAGTAGCTGGGATTATGGGCATGCACCACCATGCCCGGTTAATTTTTTCTACTTTTAGTAGAAATGGGCTTTCGCCTGGGCCGGGCACGGTGGCAAACGCCTGGAATCCCAGCACTTTGGGAGGCCGAGGCGGGTAGATCACCTGAGGTCAAGACCAGCCTGACCAACATGAAGAAACCCCATCTCTTTTATTTAAAAAAAAAAAAAAAAAAAAAAAAAGAAAGAAAGAAAGAAAGAAATGGGCTTTCGCCATGTTGGCTAGGCTGGTCTCAAACTCCTGACCTCCAATGATCCACTGTGCCGGCCACTGTGCCCGGCCTGCCCTAATCGCTTCTATTCAACGTTGTTGAGATCACGCCACTGCACTCCAGCCTGGGTGACAGAATGAGATCTGTTTCAAAAATAAAATAAAATAAAAATAAGTAAATAAATTTAACAAAAGTATACAACTTATATTTTGAAAGCAACAAAACACTACTGAAAGGAACTGAAGACGTAAGTAAATGGCGGGTGCAGTGGCTCACTCCTGTAATACCAGCACTTTGAGAGGCCAAGGTGGGTGGATCACTGGAGGTCAGGAGCTTCAGACCAGCCTGGTCAACACGGCAAAACCCTGTCTCTACTAAAAATACAAAAATTAGCCAGTCCACCTCCCATGTAGCTGGGACTACAGGCACATGCCACTACTCTCAAGAAGAAGCACTTGAACCAAGGAGGCAGCAGTTGCGATGAGCTGAGATCATGCCACTGCACTCCAGCCAGGTGACAGAGCCAGACTCTACCTCAAAAAACAAAAAACCCAACCTAATTAAATGGAGAGACACGTTCTGTAATCACGGATCAGAAGACCTCACACTGTCCAGCTGTCAGTACTAGCCGGAACTATCGGCAGATTTAATGCAATCTCTAAGAAACTCTCAGTGGCAGCTTCTGCAGAAATACGAAAGCCACCCTCAAATTCCTATGGAACAGCAAGAAGCCCCGCAGAGCGGAAAGAATCTTGAAAAGGAAGAATGGAGGTGGAGGAATCATGCTTCCTAATTTCAGCACTTTCTAGAAAGCTATAGAAACAGCAGTGTGGGGCCAGCGTTAGGGCACACAGACAGGGCAGACCAGATCCGAGAGCGAACACAAACCTCGTGTCCCCCACGTGAACCCCACTAACTCCACCTGCTATTGAGCCTAGGTGCGGGAGCTCTGCTGGCAGGCGGCGCTCACCAGCTTCCCCTTGTCTCTCTGCCACTTCCTCCACTGCTCGGTAGCCGCTGGGCTCTGCCCGGCCTCCGTGCTCCTCCTCACAGCCTTGCGTGCTTCTTGCTCTTTTGACCGTGGGTGCGACTGCTCTAATTCTGCCTGCAACCATGCTGGTTTCTCCCTCAGCTCTCGTTTTGGGGTGTGCAGGGCTTCCACCGTGGCCTTCAGCGTGGCACTTACCTCCTTCTCTCTCCTGAGCTCCTCACAGTGCTTCTGAGCCTCGGCCTCGAGCTGCTGCTGCGAGCGCACGGCTTGCTGCTGCACCTTTTCAAGCATCGCCTGCAAGTCCACCACACGGGACTTCTCCTCCCTCAGCTTCCGCAGCAGAGTGTGGTGTGCCTGTGCGTCCTGGTGCACGCAAGCCTCCTGTGTCCTCTGGCTCAGCTGCTCGGTCAGGAGCCGCTCGTGCCGTAAGGCCTCTGACAACTCCAGGGTACGGCTCTTCTCAGCCGCCAGGTCCTTCTGGAGCTCGGAGAGCTGGGTCTGCTCCTGGGCCAACAAGGCCTCGCAGCGTGAGTGCTCGATGCGCAGCTCCTTCTGGAGGTTGTCCTTGGCCACCTGCTCGTGTTTCAGTGCCACGCAGAGTCGACTGCTCTGAGCACGCTGCGTCTCCAAAGATGCCCGCAGCTCCTAGGCGGCAGGAAGATAGGACGGGAGACATTGAATCATGAGGAAAAGTGTCTAAATGGTTTTCTTGTCCATGTCTGTTTATACACCTTAGACCAGCAATCCTACCTTTTGAAATGCACCCTATTAGCCATATATAGATACAAGCTTTATTGTTCATCAAGTAACAGAAAATCCAGCCGGGGGATGACATACTTTTTTGGAAGTGGTGTTGAGGAACTGCACATGCATGTCCTGGATTCAGAGAAGTCCCCTGACCCCTCTTCAGAAAATCACTAACCAAAGAGGCTCAGAGATGCGCACCCTGCTTGCTATGAACCACCATCTCCATGCTGTTGAGAGCCACAGCCCATGGGACTGGCGCAGACTTACTCGACAGCCACACGATGCCTGCTGGGCCTCTGCCACACAAAGCTGAGGGTCCCTGCCACCGACCTGCCCTGTGCACAGACCTCTGAGGCTGCACTCCATCTCGGATGGACAGCAAGGGCGCTGTGTCCATCTCCAAAGCTAATGCTCAGGGACAGTGGGGGCTTCAGGCAAGGGTAACGTGCCACCATGGGTAATCGTAATGTCTGCCCTGTGGTGGCAGCCACTACACCAAGGTGTAGTTTTACCTGAAAACATAGCCCTATCCTACTGCTGTCCACTGGGCACGCTGCCCTCAAGAACAGGAAAAGAGGATGGAAGAGGAGCATGGCTGCAGGCTTCCAAGGGACACAGCCTATGCTGGCCACCTCGCCCTGACGCCCAGTCACCTCCAGGGCCTTGGCATTCTGGCCCTCCCTCTGCAGGTGCCGCAGCTGCTCCTCCTCCAGCTGGCTCTGCAGGGCACGCCCCTTCCCCTGCTCGCTCTCCAGCTCCTGACGCATGGCCTTCAGCTCGTTCTCCTTACTGCTCAGCACGGATCTGCATAGATACACAGGTGGTCACAGGCCTCACGTCACAGAACACTCTGACCACATGGGCCAGAGTGTGCTCCCGGGCACTGGGAGCTCCAGGAGGGGAGGGAAGAACCCTGCCAGGAGGGAAGGGCCAGAGTGCACTCCCGCGGGCTGGGAGCTCCGGGAGGAGAGGGCAGAACCCTGCCAGGCCCCGTGCATGTGCTTCACCCCCACCGCAGGACTATCAGCCCAGGGACGGCAGGGTGCAGTGCCCTGGGGGCTGCCCAACTGCAGCCCACCAGAGGTTCTGTTTCCCTTGCCAAAAAACGGTGGCCACAACGGCGAGACTCCTGCCAGTGTCCGGGGAAGGTGGATGCCACGCACCTCAGCTGGTGGACCTCCTGCTGCACCTCGTGTAAGGCGCTGGACAGCCGCTCGCTCTCCTGCCTGCACTCGCAGAGCTGAGACTTCAAGTCCCACACTGCATTCTGCTCAGCCGCCAGGAGCTTCTGCAGACCGCTTGCTTTCTCTTCCTCTTCTCTCAGTGTCTTCTGTAAGTCGCCTGCAATGGACTTCTCCTGCTCTACTTTATAGGTCAGCAGTTCAACTGAGAAAGACGAAAGAACAGAAATACAGGCCCCGTGAGCACCCCATGCTGCACGCGTGACACAGGTTAGAGACAGACTTGTCGGGGCACGGGCTGAATCCACTTTGGGAAGAAAGGAGGTTCTGTGGACTAGAAGCTTTTGTTGTGGGTGGAGCAGGACGCTCATTTCTGCCATCTGGGCCACTTCCTTCTGGGCCCACGCTCCTGGTGGGGAGCCCACGGAGCACAGGAGTGATGTGTCCCTGTGGCCGTCCTGAAATGCCACCCCAGCCCCATTCACACCCTAAACTGCCTCCAATAGAGGCAACTCCAGGCCCAGGTGGCTTTACTGGAAAATTCTTCCAAAACTTAAAAGAACCCCAATTCTAGACAATGGAGGGGATACTTCCCAAACCCCCATGGGGTTGGCGCTACCTAGCATCAAGCAGAAAAAGGCACAAGAGAAAGGAATCCAGAGATCAGCGCCCCTCTCCACAGAAAGGAAACTGAGACCAGCGCCCGCCCCCAGCCCAGAGACCATGAAGGGAAGGACAAGGGCGCTGGACAAAGGCCGTGGCCTCAACTGCAAGGCTTTTCCCCTTGACAGAATCCAAAACTAGGAACAGAGGGCACTTGCCTGAGCTGAACAAAGGTGCCTGACCCCACATGCACGGGCACAAGACCAGGTCCTGCCCCCAAAACTGAGAGCAGAGAAGGGCATCTGCCCATGCAGCTGGTGGCACAGCACTCAAGAGAAATGGCGGGAAATGAAAAATCAATCATTACTTACCCACGATGATGGGAGTGTTTACATAAAAACTCCCAAAGGACCTGAACTCAATGTAGAAACCTACAAGACATTCCTAACTCTAGTGCAAGCTCCCCAAACTCTGCCAGCACTCAGAGCCCAACACAGACCCCTCCTGCCCACACCAGGCCTGGCCATGAGGCCTCCATGCCCTGGCCCCTCCCAGCTCTGCCTGTCTCCAGGGCCCTTTCTGCTCCCTTCTATCAGCTGCCAACTGTAGCGACACTTGGGGGCCCAACAAGATGATAGCCTGTCACCACCTCTGCCCCAAGGCCACACAGGTGAGCATCAGGTGGGCAGGGGCAGGGCCCCACAGGCAACGTGAACAGTGGCACCCACCCTGCCTGCGCAGCTGGTGCTCCTGCTGGCTCCCACACGCCTCCGCGCTGGTCAGTGCCATGCGCAAGTGCTGCAGCTTCTCCTGGTTCTGCAGGTGTGTCATGCGCAGCTGGGCACGCAGAGCCTGGATCTCAGACAACAGGCTGCTCCGGTCCAGCAGGCGAAGATGCTCCAGTGACTTTTCCTGCAGGTCTCCCTGGGGGCAGAGGGGGAAAAGCCTGAGCCCCAGGTGGCTGCCGCATGCCCCAGCCTTCCAAGCCTGCTGAGTCTAGAGAGGGTGCACAATAGCCCCTGGGCCTCAGCTCAGGCCTGTGGGCATCAGGGCTGGGCCATGCTACCCTACATGAAGCCTGCAAGCTGGTTACTCTCAACACTGGGTCTCCTCACGTGTACAATGGCGGCAACAGGATTTCTAGTGTCCCCACAGCACCAACGCCACCCAGCTCTGCACACAGAGAACCTCACCACCCAGGAGGGGCTACTTGGAACATGGAATGTCTCGAGCTGCTAATCTCGAAACAGAGTAAGGTAGTGAGGGTGGATCACATGCACAGCTGTCCTCATCAGAGCTGCAGACGGAAAATCATAGCAGCCCACGTGGACTGAGCGTGACCACCTGGGGCACAGCCACATTCCAGCGGTGGAGAGAAACACACAAACAAAATTCAGATATAAAACAGTCCGTATAACCCACTCTGCCAGGGCTGGACTCCTGGGGTAAACTGAGGCCTGGTGGCACAGCTGTCCCTCACCTGCTCACAGATGACCTTCTCCAGCCTTTCAAGCAGGGAGCTGCGACACCCCGGATCCGAGCCCCCGAGTTGGGGCTGCAGCTCAACCCCCTGCATCTGCTGCTCTTTTTCAAATGCCTCCTGCACAACCTGCAGAAACTCCCCACTCCAGTCAGGGCACGTGCTGGGCAGGTCCTAAAGTGTGAAGGAGCAAACAGTCCTCACAAGTGCACCTGCAGGTGTCATGAGGACTGCATGCTCGCCCCCCAAAGTTCCCAGTGTGACTGCATTTGCAGATGGGGCCTGTGGGAGATGATTCAGAGTAAACGAGGCCTCGTAAGAAGAAGAGATGCCAGAGCTCGCTCACTCTCCACCATGTGAGGCCATAGCAGGGCAGCGCTGTCTGCAAACCAGCACCCAGCCCTGTGGCACCTGATTCCAGAACAGATGAAATCAAGGTCTGCCATTTACACCCCTGCACTGGGGTGTTCTGTTATGGCAGCTGAGCAGATGGACACCCATTCAAACAGAAATGACCCTGACAGAAGAGAAGATTACACACTGCCCAGGGCCATGTGGGGCACCAGAAGCAAATGCTGCCATCATGAGAAGAGAAGAGGCGAAAAAACGATACAGTAAGGTCAGGAAAACATCAGCAAAGCTCCTTCTTTCTTTTCCTGCTGCTGCACCTTCGAGGCCCAGAGCCTAGAGGGGTCTAAGGCTACAAGGGGCTGCCCAGTGGTCCCCGGGGCGGCATGCAGCACCAATGAGCCTCCTGAGTGCCAGCCAGGCTGCTGCTTGCACATGACAAGGGCCTGCTGGAGGGGCAGGCAGTGGCAGATGGGGCTGACCCACCAGCTCTCCAGGGTACCAGCATGTCGTGCGAGTCCCAGGCACAGGGGACAAGTCCGTCCCTGCCTCACGAAGCTCTAATCCTGGTCAGAGGCAGACGCAGGGGCAAGATGGGGCGGGCATGGAAGATGGGAGGAAGCATGACAGGGCTCAGCACCCACCCCACAAACTCTGCAGGCCCTGGGGCTGGAGGGAGAAAAGCAGAAAGATGGGCAGGGATTGGGGAGAAGTGGGACAGGGGAGGGGCAGGCAGCACAGAGATGAGGCCCTGAGGTCCAGTTGCCGAGGCCTGGGGTGTGGAAGGGGAGGTAGGAGAGGCCCATTGGAAGGAACAAGGCCAGGGGGCGTCACCAGAGGGACAGGAGGAGGGGCCTTGGGGCCAAGTGGTGGGATGGGCTGAGTCCTCAGGCCACATGGCCAAGAGAGAGCACTCTCTGCCTCCTCCGGGACTCACGCAGGGAGAGCACTCTTGGCCTCCCCAGGGACTCATGCAGGGCATGGGCCCAAAAGCCTGGAGTGCTTCTGCCCCACACACACCTCCACGTCCCGTGGGGAACCTGCCCCCAGAGTCTGCACTGGCTGTGGGAAGTGGGAAGGCCTCCCCAGGGTTCTCGGACCTCAGTCTGTCTTTTTGGTTGTGCTAAAGAAATCCTAGACGCCACGTGCCCACATGTGGCCCTGCAGATGCAGCCGTTGCCGCAAGCTCCTTAAATCCTTGGGAAAAGATGTGAGGTGCAAAGTAAAACTGTGTCTTCCCCTCACGGAGCGAGCCATCCGGTACCTCGTTTCCCTTCCAGGCTGGGTGTGGCTCGCCTGTGCCCAGAGCACTGGGGGGCATGAGGCCTTCTGACAGCGCCAGGATCTGGTGGCTCTCATCACGCATCATCTGCAGCAAAGCCTGTGGTGGGAAAGGGCATCGAGAGGAGGGAGTCACCTGCCACCCCACACAGCCACGCTCCACATCACCTGCTGCCCTGAGCTGCAGCCACGGCTCCATGAGGGCGGGCAGCCGTGGAGAGGGAAGGTGCCGCCTCAGCTCTTTGCAGGTGGTGCCCACTTCTCTAGCTACAAGGTTTTCAAGCCCTCCTGCCCCAGCCTTCAGGGTGACCACATGAAGTCAGGCTTGAAGAACGAATTCCTGTATGAGCCACTCCAAAGATGGCCCCACCATTTCCTTCACTCCACCTGCTCCCTGAGGGGGACACCATCCCGTCTAAGCCTGGGCGAAACTCAGGGCAGGGCTTTAGGCCGATGTCCGCAGTCAGGTCACAAAGACAATATACACCACCTGCCTTCCTGGGACACTAAAAGGAGGCCACACAACAACCACCCAGGAGGCCTCCGCGTGTGGTCCGGCTGAGGCCAGCGCCAACCACCAGTGTGGGGCGAAGCTGCCTGTGCTGGGAATGGGGAGCAGAGAAAGCCATCCCCAACAAGCCCTGAGTAGGGGGAGGCCCTGAGACTCTTGGCCCCTGTCCACCAGCTACAGAGGACAGGCCAGTTCCTTTTTTAAAATATGCTTTTCTAGATTTTTATATTTAGAAAATGCATTTTTAAAAACATCTCTTACGAAGAAAAATGACACAAAGGTCCTGGGCCATGGCTCCCGCCAGGTGATGTCGGGCCCCCACAGCTGGGTTCCCATGAGGCCAGGAAGAAGTGAGGCCCCATTAGGTGATGTGGGGTCCCCGCAGCTGGGTTCCCATGAGGCCTTGCCAGGTGACATGGGTCCCCCGCAGCTGGGTTCCCGTGAGGCTGGGAAGAAGTGAGGCCCTGCCAGGTGACGTGGATCCCCTGCAGCTGGGCTCCCATGAGGCCGGGAAGTGGGGTCCCATCAGGTGATGTGGGGCCCCCGTAGCTGGGTTTCCATGAGGCCAGGAAGTAGGACCGAGCCCAGTGGGTACCTTGCAGCGTGGCCTGTGGGGCTACCTGGGGGGGGTCCCACAGACACAATCGCTGGGGCTGGGAAGGTTCCACAGCCTCCACACTCAGGACCAGGCTGCTCTGCTGCCCACGCCTGTGGAGGGGTCCTCACCTCCTCAGCTGTGGCACATATCCTACACCCTGCCAGGGCCTCCACGCTCAGGACCAGGCTGTTCTGCTCTCCACGCCTGTGGAGGGGGTCCTCGCTGCTCTGCTGCCCACGCCTGTGGAGGGGTCCTCGCCTCCTCAGCTGTGGCACATACCCTACACCCTCCCAGGGTTTGCTTCCTCCTTATGCCACATGCATTGTGCTTAAAGTAAAACTGTTTCCAGTTGTTTAACTGTCTTTAAATCAAACATAGTATGCAATTTGGTTTCTACTCCTTTTGTGTTAATACTTTTTTGGGCCACATGGTTAAAATTATTGTAAGGAATTTTTACAATAATCAAACGTATTGTATAAAAATTTGAGGCCGGGTGCAGCGGCTCACATTGTAATCCCAGCACCGTGGGAGGCTGAGGTGAGCAGATCACTCGAGCTCAGGAGCTCAAGACCAGTCTGGGTAACATGGCAACACTCCAACTCTATAGAAAATACAAAAATTAGCTGGGTGGGCTGGGTGCCATGGTTCACACCTGTAATCCTACCACTTTGGGAGGCCAAGGCAAATGCATCACCTGCGGTCAGGAGTTCGAGACCAGGCTGGCCAACATGGTAAAACCCTGTCTCTGCTAAAAATACAAAACACAGCCGGGCGTGGTGGCACATGCCTATAGTCCTAGCTACTCCGGATGCTAAGGCAGGAGAATCGCTTGAACCCAGGAAGTGGGGGTTACAGTGAGCTGAGACTGTGCTACTACACTCAAGCCTGGGCAACAGAGCGAGACTCCATTAAAAAAAAAATTCGCCGGGTGTGGTGGTGCACACCTGTTATCCCAGCTACTTGGGAAGCTGAGGTGAGAGGATTGTTTGAGCCCAAGAGGCAGAGGTGGCAGTCAGCTGTGACTGGTCCGACAGAGTAAGATCCTGTCTCAAAACAAACAAAAAAATGCAAAGAAGAAATAAAAAACAGATTTTAAAAAAATCAATCTGTCCCATTTCCATGTTTGAAAAGGTAAAGTAAGTTAAATAAGTTGCGTTTTTGTTTTTTTTTAATTAAGAAAAGAGGTTTAATTGATTCAGGTCTGACAGAGATGGGGTCTTACTACATTGCCCAGGCTGGTCTTGAACTGGGCTCAAGTGATCCTCCCGACTCGGCCTCCCAAAGTGCTGGGATTCCAGGTGCGAGTGAGCACGCCCAGGCAAAAGTCCAACAAGTTTTATTCTGAATGCAGCAGCCCTCACTTATCATCATGGATGGGTTCTTGGAAACCGACTTTAAGTGAAACGCGTGTAACAAAGGCAACCTGAGGACCACTGAGACAACTGGACCTGCGCCAGCAGCACAGAGCTGTCCTTCGCACAAGGTCAGCTTCCAAGAACCCAGGGGCAATGCTAAGTGAGGACTTCCTGTGCAATTTCAGAATGGGTTTCACTGACATGAAAACTGCTTGGGAATCCGTTTACTGCCAGTAAGACACTGCAATGGCATGATTCCATCGCTCACTTGTTTAGCCAAGTTTTTGTCAATGGTTTTACAATAAAATGATCACTAACCTGGGTGAGAAAAGAAAGCCTATGAAAAGTTCCACTAAATTCTGCCTTCAAAGTTGACTCAGAGGAGGATGAGTGGCTTCTGTCCCACCCTCTGGAGAGAATCTGGCTCAGTCCTAGAGGACCGAGACGTCTGAAGCCTCAGTTTCTTGAGAAGCAGGGCACAGCGGGGAGGAGGCACAGGCTGGCTCTGCAGCTTGGAGCACCACCACCTGCCCATGGGCACATAGGACCCACCCTGCCAGGATGGGAGGAGCCACCCACAGGGCCAGGGCAGAGCTGGGTGGGCGGCTTCCGGGGCCACTGTGGGGGCTGGGCTGAGACTAGTCCTGTCTCATGTGAGTCATTAAACTGCAGGCGCTCAGAGGCTCTCCCTGGAGAGGCAGGACACCGGGCTCAGGAGATGCCCCAGAGGCTGCATCCCCACCAGCCCTACCTTCATGTGCTTCGGATGGACTTCCTTCTCCTTCATGGCTTCCGGCAGTGGCTGAAACCTTCCAGAGATGGGAGCAGGGGTCACAGGACCAGCAGTGTGAGCCTCAAGGCCTCCGGACCCTGGCCTCAGTCTTGCTCCAAAACCTGAGCCATCACCTAAAAACACCACGCCGTCAGGGTCCCAGTTGCAGCTCTCTACGGGGTTCCGCCGCAGAGGCAAGGGCAGGGGCGATCGGCCCACAGCCCCAGCGATAACCACACCGTGAAGTGAACACAGATGGGCCCCAAAAATACCTTCATAAAAGCATAACCCAGGTGAGAATGCCACACAAGTAAGAAAACGCAACTTTGCAGCATCCCTGATTCAAGTGCCAGCCTTAGGGGGCCTCTGCTCACTTTTCCAGACGTAGCGCCCAAAGACTCCACAAAACCCAGATGGCTTTGGCAAGCCCCCAAGAGCAGGAGTACATGCGGGGCCTGCACCTTCCATGCCAGCCATGGAGCAAAGGTAGCAGTGGACAGGTGTCCGATGCCTGCTCAACAGACGCTGACCGTGCCTGCCGTGGGGTGCCTACGGTGCTGCTCCTGCGTCTGGTGGGTGTGGGTTCTCAAGGCGGAGAGTTCAAAACCTCCCAATGCAAAAGGCCCTGGTCCATCCTGGAGAGCTGCAGCTCCACCTGCCCACCAGGAGGGGGGAAACTTTGGAAACTGAGGCAGGATTGTGTCAGAGACCCTGGAAAAATGGTGCTGGACCTTCTGAGAGGAGGACAAGGACACCAGCAAGACAGGCCCTCTGTGTGGACAAGGCTCCTGGGGAGAGGAGGCTGTGGCACTCAGGCACCTGGGAATGCCCCAGCACAGCCTGGTGAGCAAAGAGCATGCTAGGGAGGAGCAGAGGCCAATGACGCAGAGGACAGCCTCGGGGACGACCACAACCTCCTCAGAGATACGACCGCACGTCCTTCACAACACGAAGCAACAAAGCGCAAATTCTGTGAGTGGCAGCAAGTGCTGAGAGAACAGCCTGAAGGCCTCAGGCACAGCTCGAGGGTGCAGGGTGCTGGGTCGCTGCCTGCCCGCCCGCAGTGCCACTGGCCACCCCACACCGCCCGCGAGTCTTTGTGCCTCATCATGTCGCCAAGTCCCACTTCTGCCTTGAGTATCTCAGCGAAAGATCATGACGAATAATTCTGTGGCAAAATCATCGAATGCAGCAGGTATTTGAGAAATCCCTGAGGGTGAAGGGCTCCGGCATTTCCCTGTGCCACGATCCCACAGCATGTACCAGGAACACTGGGATGTGACTGCTACAGGCACTGCCACCCAGTGACATGGGATCCCGGCCCTCTCCATCCTGAGGAAATGGAAGCCAGCAGGTGCCGCCAGTGGATGGTCAGAGCTCCACGACCACATTCCCACTGTCCCACGGGACCCTGTGCCATCAGCATGAGCCAAGCTTCACCTCAGGACCCAACACCTTCCTCCAGGTACAGGGATCCCTCACCTGTCTGTGCCAAAAACAGACTCAAGAACAACCCTCCACCCAAAAGAGAAAAGCAAGGGGATGAAGCTATAGGAGACATGAACAGCTGGGGCAGGAACTCAGAAACGTAAAGCACGAGAGCAGAAGCAAAATACTTAGCACAAATGTTGAAAAATAAACTTCTAAAGAAAACCTCTTAGAAATGAGAACAAAAAGAAAAAGCAGAAATGGGGGGAAAAATTAGAGAATCCTGGAGGTCCAATATATTTGAATAACAGGAATTACAGAAAGAAGAGAGGAAACCACAGATGTGATCCAAGAAAGGAAGAACGAAGAAGTCCGAGTCGAGGGGTGCGCCCCACCCTGACTGCACAGGGCCCCTCCACGCTCAAGCGCCACTGGAACGCGCAGGCCAGGAGGCAGTGGACAGGCACGCGATCCCCGAAAGAATGTGACTTCCAACCCAGCCAACCTACCAACAACCGCCAGGTCAACCGTACACACCTCCTGCCACGAGGAAGCCCAGGAGACGCAGCCCCCACAAGCCATTGCAAGGACACACCACACCATCAGCAGTGCCTCTGCCCCGGGACCCACAGCAGAGAAAGGGACATCCACCCCAAGGGGAGGGAAGGCAGGGCAGGCAGGCAAGGTAGCAGAGCCTGGAGACGCAGGGTGCACCACCCCAGTCTCCATCCCGCCAAAGACACCTGAACACTGCCTGTGACCTTGGGTATCTTCTCCCTAAAGGACGTTACAGGGACAATCAGTGAGATCTGAGCAAGGTCTGCAGCTATAACTCAGATGCCAGCCTTGGGTCAGGGTGAATATTCCAGGGTGGAGTGCGGCCCAAGCTGGCAACCTTGGCTGTGTGAAAGGCACAGGCATTTTCAGGAGTCAAGAGGCCCCAAGCTCACACCTGACAGAGGGCAGAGCCGGGGTGGAGGTCAGTGCAGGGCAGATGCAGAACTGGGTGAAGGACACAGGATTCTTTGACTATTCTGTGCTATGAAACCACTGAAATAAAAAACTATGAAAGAAAGATCACCAACTCACTTTTCTCACTTCCACTGGTCTTTCCTTCTATTCCAGGAGGAGATGAACTTAACGTTTCTTGAGAATCAAAGGATGTTATAAAATCTTCCACATCTTTTTCCTGTTCAGATAAGGAGACTTTTGAATGGTCATAAAATAATGAGTAATTACGTCATAGTTATATAATTGCCAGTTGAAAACTTTCTAAGGCCTGAATTTACCATCTTCCCACACAGACCCCAAACGAAACAACTCAAAACTGGTGAACGCATGGAGGTCAAATGCTTCTGATAATTTGGAAGATTCACCCACAGCTCTTCAGAAATATGTTAAAGCAGCCAATAGCAAGTATTTCAGATTTAAATTGTTTTCCATGAAATGATAGAGAATGTTTCAGATCATATATATCTGCAAATTATTTTTTGAGGCAGGGTCTCACTCTGTCACCCAGGCTAGAGTGCAGTGGTTGGATCTCGGCTCAATGCATCCTCAACCTCCCCAGGTCAAGTGATCCTCCTGCCGCAGCCTCCTGAGGAGCTGGGACCATGGGTGGCGCCAGCACACTCAGCTGATTTTTTTGTGTTTTTTGTAGAAATGGGGTCTCACCATGTTACCCAGGCTGGTTTCAAACTCCTGGGCTCAAGCAATCCTCCCACCTTGGCCTCCCAGAGTGCTGGGATTGCAAGAGTAAGCCCAGCTGTACACAATGTTTTATTTTATCTTAAGATAGACAAAATCCCAAAATGATGTTAGAAATAATATGATCGAACTCACAAATTATTAATATTAATCAGCATATGTGAAACCTGTTAAAAATATGATGCATTCCTGGTGGGCACGGTGGCTTATGCCTGTAATCTCAGCACTTTGGGAGGCAGAGGCGGGTGGATCACCTGAGGTCAGGAGTTCAAGACCAGCCTGGCCAACATGGTGAAACACTGTCTCTATTAAAAATACAAAAATTAGCCAGGTGTGGTGGGGTGCGTCTGTAATCCCAGCTACTCAGGAGGCTGAGACAGGAGAATTACTTGAATCCAGGAGGCGGAGGTTGCAGTGAGCGGAGATGGCGCCACTGCACTCCAGCCTGGGCGACAGAGCAAGACTGTCTCGAAAACAAAACAAAACAAACGAACAAAAAAAATTGGAAGCATTCCTAAAAATAAATCTCAGAAAACATTCCGGACAAAGAACCCTATGCCCATCACGCAGGAGATGTGTCTGTGGCTGTGCCTGCTGCAGTCAGCGTCAGTGGAGAAGCATGCCCAGGGTAAGTCTGAGGTAGGCAAATGCATCTCAGGTATTTAAAAAATACCTTAACAACTAAAATAATCTAAATGCTCCCATGACACCAGTCCTGCAGAGCTGGCCCCACACAGGACTGTGAGGCCATGCGCTGTCAGACGGTGAGCACACAATGGCAGCTGCCAGTGACACTGGGCAGGCCACAATCCCCCCAGGAACACCAGACCTGGGCGCAGGGCAAGCACCTACCACAGCCATCCTCTCCACGTGGAGGTCAGCTGGCGGAGACCCAGGCCACTTCGGGGCCAGCGCTGCTACAGACACGCTTGGGTAACAAAGCAGCCCCAGCCCCTGGGCCTGCAGCAGCGAGGCATCTGCCCTGTCCCGCGGGGAGGTGTCAGCACTACACAGGCTTAGGGCGCCTGAGTGGGGCGTCAGGAGGAGGCTGGGCTGGGGCTCCAAGGTCCAGTCCTTCCTGAGAACCTCAGGGGAGCTCCAGGAAGACAGGTCCAACATCCTGACTGAGCCCTTCCGGGGCCTGGCCTCCATGGCATGGCTCCGGTGGTGGGGGACACCAAGCAGGCTGGTGGGTGAAGAATGGGGCCCATCCTGACATTCTGATTTTTCTTGATTGGGAGAATCTGGCACTTCATCTGGTATCAAGGAATCCTGATCTTTTATGACATCAGTTAGCTCCTCTCTGGCTGTATTGGCATCACACACATCGACGGGGGCTGATCTGTCTGGCTCTTCGCCATCACGAGAACCATCACTCCAGCGGCTCTCCAGCAGGTGTGCCAAGGCCACAGGCCGTGGAGATTTCTTGTCAGCAGCGTCCACGTCCTGGAAAGTCATGGAATCCAGCAAACAGCTCAGTTTTTCCTGGAGTTGTTTCACCTGAGCTATGAGGTCAACCTTCGGCAGCTGACAATCTTCCGGCGCCTTTTCCCGACTCTGCAGGTAAAACAGAATAGGCATGGGTGGAATACCTGGCTCACTGGAAGTGGCACTCGGCTGTCTGGTGTTGATGAGTGGATTGAGGGAACTTCTGAGCACTCAGGGGTGAGGCTCCACAGTGAGCCCAGCACACTTCAAGTTTATTTAATTCTATGAGAAACAGAACCACGGTTTACATCTCTTTGTTTTATTAAAAGGCAACTATCATAACCCATTTCTGCAATGATTAAGGACACAACCTTCATATAATGGAAGAAGGATGGTAACGTTCTATATTTGGACACTGAAAACACAAAATTGTGGTTTATGTGATGAATCCGGAGTTTCTTTGTGTGTAACTTCTAATACTTTGGCAATCAGCTCAGGCAGGACTGAGCTTAAGAATTCGAAGATATGTTCCTATCATGAGGGCCCCAAGGCTGTTTGCCACAGGAGACATGAAGGGCTCTCTCTACACAGGACATATTTCCCGAGAGCACGTGATGAGCACGCGAACCAGGTACACGGCTCTCCTCAGAACTGCAAGCCTAGGTCCATCCTTCCCTGACTTCTGTGGCATTCAGACCCTTTCAGGCTCTAAATGCCAATGAAGTGCATGCAGTGTGGGCCAAGGAAAAGGCAGCACCTGGACTGATGCAAGAAATGTCCCAGCACCGTGCGGGACACTCACCAGGGCTGCGAAGGGCTCGCAGAGCCCAGGCTTCAGCAGCCATTAGATCCACGCATACTCCCATACCACACTTGAGACCCCAAAACATCCGCCCAGCAATTCTGGTGTTAGAGCCTCTGGGGTTCAGAGCCTGCAGTCGCTGGGGCATGTTTAGCAATAGCAGCAGCGGGAGGAAGAACAGCAGGGTGGGCAGCTGTGTGTCCAGGATGGTTATGCTGGGCCTTGGACTGGAGGAGGAGCCATTGGCCGGGCGTGGTGGCTCACACCTGTAATCCCAGCAGTTTGGGAGGCCCAGGTGGGCAGATCATCTGAGGTCAGGAGTTTGAGACCAGTCTGGCTAACATGGTAAAACCCCATTTTTACTAAAACTACAAAAAAATTAGCCGGCATGGTAGCATTTGTCTGTAACCCCAGCTACTTGGGAGGCTGAGGCTGGAGAATCACTTGAACCCAGGAGGCAGAGACTGTAGTGAGCTGAGATCGCACCACTGCACTCCAGCCTGGACAACAGAGCGAGACCCTGTCTCAAAAAAAAAAGAGAAAAAAAGGCGCCATCCGGACCTGATGCACCCTCAGGAGAGGGGAGCCCCTCGAAAGAGCTTCTGAGGGGGTGCTGGAAACCTGCCCCTGGAGCACTGGGTGGGAGAAGCACCAACACCAGCTCTTCTCGCTAAAGCTCAACCCTGCTACGATTTGAGGTTGTCAAGGTGCAACCTCCTTCCCTGGGGAAAAGCAGCTCAGCCTTTTTTCAAGTGACAATATGGAGTGAAATGAACAGATTAAAAAAATAAATCTGAAGCCTTTTAAAGTAAAACTGATACTGGCCATCAAAGTCCTGAGCTGAGGTGAGCCCCATGGGCAATGTGGTCCTCACATGAAACGAGAACCCCAGGACTAACCCTGGAACAAGTTAAATCCATTTCTATCAATTAAAAGAAAAAAACCCACTGTTTCTAGAAAGTGGCTTAAATGAAGCACGTGGGAAAGTTCACGACAGTTACGGACAGTTCATCAGAACGTGTCACTGCTGGCACAGACTGTGCTCCTCACCTCAGCAGAATGCCCGGGTCTGCCCAGGGCAGGACTCACATGTTCTGCACTCAGCCTCTTCCGGGTCGCCCGCACACCTCCCCTCCTCCCCACACCTGGACACCGCATGTCCAGCCTTTCCCAGGTAAGCCACACACCTCCCCTCCTCCCCACACCTGAACACCGCATGTCCAGCCTCTCCTGGGTGGCCCACACACCTCCCCTCCTCCCCACACCTGGACACCGCATGTCCAGCCTCTCCCGGGTCACCCGCACACCTCCCCTCCTCCCCACACCCAGACACCGCATGTCCAGCCTCTCCCGGGTGGCCCGCACACCTCCCCTCCTCCCCACACCTGGACACCACATGTCCAGCCTCTCCCGGGTCACCCGCACACCTCCCCTCCTCCCCACACCCAGACACCGCATGTCCAGCCTCTCCCGGGTGGCCCGCACACCTTCCCTCCTCCCCACACCTGAACACTGCATGTCTAGCCTCTCCCCGGTCGCCCGCACACCTCCCCTCCTCCCCACACCTGGACACCGTGTGTCCAGCCTCTCCCAGGTCAGCCACACACCTCCCCTCCTCCCCACACCTAGACACCACATGTCCAGCCTCTCCCGGGTCACCCGCACACCTCCCCTCATCCCCACACCTGGACACCGCATGTCCAGCCTCTCCCAGGTGGCCCGCACACCTCCCCTCCTCCCCACACCTGGACACCGCATGTCCAGCCTCTCCCAGGTGGCCCGCACACCTCCCCTCCTCCCCACACCTGGACACCACATGTCCAGCCTCTCCCGGGTCACCCGCACACCTCCCCTCCTCCCCACACCTGGACACCGCATGTCCAGCCTCTCCCAGGTGGCCCGCACACCTCCCCTCCTCCCCACACCTGGACACCGCATGTCCAGCCTCTCCCAGGTGGCCCGCACACCTCCCCTCCTCCCCACACCTGGACACCGCATGTCCAGCCTCTCCCAGGTCAGCCACACACCTCCCCTTGTCCCCACACCTTGCCACCATCCTCCAGACTCAGGCGCATTTCATTTTTCACCAAGAGCAGCTCCGACTGCAGCTGCCTCTGGCAAATGCTGAGCACCGACATCACACCTTCTTGCTTGCAGAGAGGCGCGTCCTTCATCATCACCAGGACGGGCTGCAGATCACCCTTGACAGAGAAGACAGAGGAAAGCTGAGCGTGTAGGAGGCTATTGTGGGGGCTGTTCCTAGGTGGCCTGGAGCTGGGAGCGGGGAGCCAGTGCAGCAGCCAGCAGGAATGCCAGAGGGAGGTGGCAGCACTGTCGGCAGCAGAGCACCTTTATCCCAGCAAGCCACATGGACACAGGGCTGAGGACCCAGCAGAAGCTGCCCCAACCCAGGGCGGCCCCACAGAGCAAGGCTGACTGGGGCATCTGAGAGCTGGAGCCATTCTACAAAGACCCCAGCAGGTGTCGGGGTGGTAGGCAGCATGTCCCCAAGGCTCTGCTCAAAGGGCCTCCAGCTCCAATGATATCTCACACAAGCAGTGCTTATCGACCCGTAAACCATTTGATCAGAAACCAGACAGGGAACTCAAGCAGGACCACCTCCCACAGTGAGCCCCTTTCACTAGACAGCCCCTACCACGTTGAAGAAAGAATTGTTTTTTCTTTTTTTTTTTGAGACGGAGTCTCACTCTGTTGCCCAGGCTGGAGTGCATTGGCATGATCTCGGCTCACTGCAACCTCTGCCATCCAGGTTCAATTAATTCTCCTGTCTCAGCCTCCCAAGCAGCTGCGATTACAGGTGCCTGCCATTGCGCCTAGCTAATTTTTGTATTCTTAGTAGAGATGGCGTTTCACCATGTTGGCCAGGCTGGTCTTAAACTCCTAACCTCGTGACCCACCTGCAGCCTCAGCCTCCCAAAGTGCTGAGGTTACAGGCATGAGCCACCACGCCCTGCAGAAAGAATTATTTTAAAAAACTTAAAACAATAAGCTTAAAATGGTACAAAACAGTGAAAGCCTCCACCCAGCTTCACTGCGTACTGACCCTGAATCGGCCCAGGCTGGCCTGAGCTTCAGGTTCCTTTCTCTGCTATGTCATGAAAGGACATAACCACCCAGTGCCAACCGCCCAGAGTCCAGCACAGAGAGAAGTCATTAAAATTAAAGCAGAAAAGGAGTAAGAGTTTAAAAAAAAAACCCTGCATGGCCCGCAGGGGGGCCTACCCAAGGGTTGGGGACAGCTGGCTCCAAAGCAGCATCATGGGCGGCCTCTTCGTCGCTGTCCGCGCAAGGCTGTGGGTGCACCCCAGGCACCCTGGTGTGAGCTGCAGCGCCGCAGGCCTGCCGCTTGTCCAGCTCCACCCGGCACCTCAGGAACCGCTGGTGCAGTACCTGCAGCTGGCGGCCGAGGCGGGCGCACTGTGCTCGGAGATGCTGCAGTTCAGGGGGCTCCGCCAGGGCTGTCAGGGGCTGCTGCTCCAGGGCGCGGCGGAGGCGGCCCAAGGCTGACAATACAGCCTCCAGCTCAGCAGAGTGGGCCGCCTTCCGCTGGTTCAGAGCGTGGATTTCTAAATCTCTCTCGGCAATCACCACTTCCTTCGCTCTCAGGGCTGCTTCAAACTCCTGGATCCTGGAGGCCATGCCTTGGACCTCAGCCTCCCTGAGGGCTGCACTGCGCTCCAGCTCAGCCAGCTGCCGCTCCGCAGCCTCCTCTGCATCCTGGAGGCGCTGCTGCAGGGCCTGCAGGGCCTGGCTGTGCCCATGCTCCTGCTCAGCCAGCAGCCGGCTCACAGTCTCCTTGGCTTCGAGCGCGGCCTCAAGCTTGCCCTGCAGCGCCTGCCCACTAGGGCCCCCAGCCTGGGAGCAGAGCAGCTCGCTCTGCAGACTGCCAGCCTGACTGTGGCTGACTTCGTGCAGCACGGGCCCCATGAGGGACAGCTCCTGCTGCAGCTTCTCAATGACTTCATGGAGCTGTTCAATTTCTTCTGCTTTCTCCTTCTGTAATCGTTTTTGGTTCTCGTGCAGATTTTCAATCGTGGCTTTCAGCTCCTCAATGTCAGAGCTTCTGGTATATGTGACCTGAAGAGAGAGCACAATTCAGAGGTAAATTAACTGTAACCACTTCAGAATATCCCTCGTTCAGGACACTTTACATTCCTGGAGTGGAGACGCCACAGCTTGAGAAACAAAGCAGTCACGGACGCAAACTGTCAGCATCTGAACTCACCACCTCCGCCTCGCTGCTACGGGGCCCTGGTGCCCACCTCATGCTCCAGACTGATCGTGGGATGAAACTCTAATGCGGCCACTTTCCCTACAAGGACGTCTACAGAATGAGGCTTTCACCATCCTTTAAATGTGATTTTGTTAATATTTAAACAACATTTTGTTTAACTTTCCCGAAGGAACCTTAGATTTTAGGTGTCATTCTAACATCAAAGTTCGTTTACTTGTGATGCAAACATAATCCTCAGCCACTGTAAGGAAATATGATTGTTTCCACTTTAAAGGGATGAAAATTGAAACTAAGATATTAAACATCTTTCTAAACCCACAAAAATAGTAAGTGCAAAATCAGGATTGAGATCTATGTCAATACAGCTCGGAACTCTATTTTCTTGAGATAACATTACTGGCAACGACAAAAAAATAGAAAAATTCTAACCCATTTGTGTTCTAACAACTTTAAAACAATCTGTTAGAGCCTGCAGGAGGTTCCTGACGCCCTCTCTGCAGAGGATACTACGAAGCCAGAGGCAGCCATCTCTGAAACGGGAGGTTGGTACAGACTTTACATTGGTTCCTCCACCCACTCCTGAGCCTTCCACTCCGTCTGTGACTGCTTGTGATGATTTAATGCGTGAATTACAAACTATTCGCTGGCAAAGCTCAGCTATATCCTCAATGCAACCACCGTCGTGGCCTGAACCTTCTTCTCTCTCAGCCTTGCTGTAGGGCTCCCAATCATCCACCTAATCAGCCCAGTAATGAGGCTCTCAACCCTATCCCTGTTCAGCCAGGCTGTCAGGCTCTCAAGTCTGTCCTGCCTCTTCTTTCCATGCATCAGGCTCCTCGGAAGCCTGCTCTGCAGTCCATCGGTCAGCCAGTGTTCAGGCCCTGGAAAGACCTGCACTGCAGGTAGCTGGTTCACAGCCTGGTCCACGGGCCCTGGAAGGACCTGTACCGCGGGCAGCCGCATGGCAGCCTACTCCACGGGCCCTGGAAGGACCTGCACCGGGTAGCCACATGGCAGCCTACTCCACGGGCCCTGGAAGGACCTGCACCGCGGGCAGCCACATGGCAGCCTACTCCACGGGCCCTGGAAGGACCTGCACCGCGGGCAGCCGTGTGGCAGCCTACTCCACGGGCCCTGGAAGGACCTGCACCGGGTAGCCACATGGCAGCCTACTCCACGGGCCCTGGAAGGACCTGCACCGGGTAGCCACATGGCATCCTACTCCACGGGCCCTGGAAGGACCTGCACCGCGGGCAGCCGTGTGGCAGCCTGGTCCACGGGCCCTGGAAGGACCTGCACCGCGGGCAGCCACGGCTTGCAGGCTCTCAACCTTTCCTCTCATCGTCCCAATTTCCCTTCTGTTTCTGGTCTGGCCACAACTGCGGTTCACTCCCAAAAACAACATGTCACATACATTGGCGAGGATGATAGGCCACTTACGAGAGTGATTCCTCAAGCCCGTGAACATGGTGATTCTGAGGCACGGCACCTTCCAGTAGTTTTACAGCCCCCTATGCCTGCCACTCCAGTCCCTGCACCCCCTGGCATTAATCCAGCTGCCGCTCTTGCTCAACAAGCCAATAGTATTGCCACGCCTCAGGACACACAACCTAAAGCTGGGGCGCTGATGCCTGCGCCTCGGCAGCCTGCTGCCGCTGTACTGCTGCTCCTGGTATTCCTGCCCTACAGACTACTGTCCAGCCAGATCCTCTCAATCCAGGCCAGCTTCAGTTGTGTGTGGCAAATTTGAAAAGCTTTTCTTTCAAATTTCTTAAAGATCTTAAAGAAGCAGTCAAACAATGTGGCACTAATTCTTTTTGTCCACTCCACTCTAAAAGCTTTGGCAGAGGATAAACGTCTGGTACCATGTGATTGGGACTGTCTCGGCAAAGCGGTCTGAACACAATCTCAGTATCTGCAGTTTAGAGACTGGTGGGTCGATGCTGTTCAGGAGCATGTCCGTAGAAACCAGGGAGTTAATCCTCCTATCAACATCTCAGAGAATCAGGGTCCTGTCTGGGTGCCTTAACTGTGTCCTGGCCCCAAGCCCAAAGACTCTCCGGAAGCAAGTCGCCCCTCCAACACGCAGACTTCAGAATCTGACCATCTCATCACCGCCTCACCCTCTGATTCCTAATACTACAAATTCCAGACTACCCTCGTGGGGTCAAATTAAGACCATGTCTGACTAGGTAGAAAAATTTTTGCAGGAGAAAGGAATTCCAAGAACTACTCATAATCTTATCTTAGCCGCTTTTATGGGTGGTCACGGGCGTTAAGTATACTCGGCTCGTGGTCCTTTTCCCCAGCTAATTCGACCTATTTCGTGGCTGGACTCCTCGGTGGAGGTCTATTCTAATAACAGTGCCTTCATGCCAGCCCCTAATAACAGATTCCCTGCTTAACCAGAAGAAGAAGGAATGATCTTTCATTTGTCTATTGGGTATAAATTTCAACCACTGTGTACAGGAAATGCTCCTGGGTGCTTAAAGTTTGCTAACCAAAATTGGATGTGGACGGTGCCATCTGCAAGTAACACCTCCTGTCAAGTACACGATGTGTTTAGCAGCAATTCCTTTCAGGCCATGATCTCCAGACTTAACTCCCAGCAGGCTTACACAGTTCCCATCACTACTGAAAATAATAAAACCAAAGGCCTGTTACACTGCCCGAAAAGGGATACTGAAGGGCCTTTTAAATTTAATGGCATTCAATGGAAAAACTGCAATGCCCCCAAAGCAGTGCTTTTATAAAAAGCTAAAACCAGAGTTATTATTGATTGGGCCCCAAAAAGATATTACTGGCCCAACTGTACTGGCCAAAATGCCCAGTGTTCTAAATATAATTATTTGCTGGATTATGCTGAGGGGGATGGCAGTCATTCAGAAGGAGGGAGTGGCTGTCTCCTTATCCATTCAAGTGGGTAAAGGCAGTGTTTCTCCCGACCAAAGATGAGCTACCCTTCTGTTATCCCAGAGCATCTGGAATTATGGAAATGGCTGCTGCTATTACTGAAATCAGATTCTGGAATACTCCTTATCAAAAAGCCCTTAATGCTAGGGCTGGAATTACAACCCACAAAATTAACTTGCTATCTGAAAAGGTAGTTCCTGTAAGAAGCTGTGTTAAACCACCTTATATGCTATTGGTTGGACAAATAATTATCACCCCAACAGTCCAACCATTGAACGTGATCAATATAAACTGTTGACTTGTATTGACAGTACCTCTGATTCCCAAAACACGTTCTCCTTGGGTATATGGATCCCAGTTTCATTACAACATCCATGGGAAGGCTCCCCTCTCATCCATGTTCTGGATGAAGTTTTACAGGGGATACTTAGGAGAACTATAAGATTTATATTCACCTTAATAGCTGTAATTTTGGGACCAACTGCTGTCACTGCCTCAGCAGCTACTGCAGGTATTACAATTCACAATTCTGTCCAGACTGCTCATTATGTTGAAACCGGCAAAAGAATTCCACTAGACTGTGGAACTCTCAGGCCCAAATTGATCAAAAGTTGGCAAATCAAATTAATGATCTCCGCCAGAGCGTGATTTGGTTGGGAGACACAGTGATGAATCCTGAGCATCGTATGCAGCTACAAGGTGACTGGAGTACTTTCCTCTACTACCTAACGCCTTATGCTTATAATGAAACTCAGCATAACTAGGAATGGGTCAAAAGGCATTTAAAAGCCTGGCATGATCATCTAACCTCGGACATTTCCAAACTAAAAAAACAAATTTTTGAAGCCTCTCTCTCATGCACATCACATCTAATGTGGTTCCTGGTTCTGGGATTTTTACAGAAACAGTAAAGGGTTTGTCTGGTCTTAACTCTATTAAGTGGGTTAAGTCTTCTGGAGGTTCCATTTTCTCTCTGGCTGTGCTAATGCTTGTCTGTCTGTGCTGTTCACTCCTAGTCTGCAGATGTGTTTGAGAAACCCAGCGAGACACTGAAGCCAACAACAAGCAATGATGGCCATGGCAATCCTCCTTAAGAGGGGAGATGTGGGTGGGAGCCTGCGCAAGTGCCGAAGCAAGGGTCAGAGGCCTCAGCCAGCCCCAGTTTAAAACACGGCACAGAAGAGATTTACAACAGAAATAAGCATTATAATCAAATATTTAGCCTAGGGAAAGCATTCATGTTTCATATATTCTTTTTTATAACTAAGGAACTTCAGGGAAAGCAGCTTGGAACTGAAGAAACATGTGAAAAGCGACTCTTAAGGCAAGAGCATTAGCCCTCTGCCACGCTCGTGTAAGGGCTGCGAGAAGGCGCCTTGGGCTCTGCGGCAGCACTAGTGCTGGGAAAGCACCTGCTGCTTAGCAAACCATGGAAGGAGACATCTTCTTTCTCAGAGGAGTCAGGGAACACTCCACTCCCCCCACACTCTTGTGGAAAGACTGATATCAAGTCAGCCCAACCTGCAGTTACCCGGGGCTTAACTGTCTCTACCTGGTGCTATGCTATAGTGGTCACAATCTGTGTCTCCTTTCACTCCCTACTTCTGCACCTGGTTCCTCTTTTATCAGCAAGCAGTAGCATCATTCTGGAAGCCTCTGACAAGCAGAATGTAAAGTGCTAATGCATTTCTTTCCCCCGCTTCAGCTACTTGCAAGCTCTGGGTCCCTTGTTCCTTAGCGGCTACTTGAAAGCCCTAGCCCCCACCCACTGCCTCCTTAGACATGTGACTGGGGAAGACTCACCCTGCCCCGTCTTCTACTCAGTAAGAGGCAGCGTGTCCAGCCCCTCGGGGCCACTGCTGGACTCCATGCTTTGGTTGGCAGTGGACCCCTGGGCCCAAACTCTCTTTCTCTTGATCTTGGTATCTTGTGTCTTTATTTCCACAGTTTCTTATCTCTACACCGGTAAAGAGGGGCTCACAGGACCCTGTAGGGCTGAACCCTAGAGCAGACTAATATGTTCTTCAAAAAGACTGAGGGTTTCATAAAACTCTGGGTTTCTCTGGAACTACCTCACAATTACTCTGGGCTCAAATGCAAATCTGGCCTACAGAAAAAAACAAAGGAACCTGATGGACCTGTGGCTTTGGCTCAGACGTTGCCAGCTATGCATTCCTATGCATCTGCCACAGATGCACGACATCATGAGTTTAGCAGAAGCAGCCTTCCACCTGCAGGGCCAGTAGTACCCGCTGCACACTCCGCTCCATCTTGCATACCTCCCTGTGTGCACTGACCTGTGTCTCTGCACTCTACAGGCAAGCGAAGGAATTTTAAGGACAATTCAGACTGTATGCAGCTTTTTCTCATTCACTAAATGCACTAAATACACTGGAATCAAGGGGTGTGCGCTAAAAACAGTCATAATCACAATGCAAATATTACGTTAAAATACTGGAGCCAGCACACGGAGGTAGTTCTAAATTAAAACACTAAAACCTAAAATCAGTGAACTGAGGCTGGATGTGGTGGCTTATGCCTACAATCCCAGCACTTTGGAAGGCTGAGGCAGGTAGATCACTTGAGCTCAGGAGTTCAAGACCAGCCTGGTCAACATGGTGAAACCTGGTCTCTAGTAAAAACACAAAAATTAGCTGGGCGTGGTGGCAGGAATCTGTGGTCCCAGCTTCAGGAGGCTGAGGCAGGAGAATCGCTTAAACCCCTGAGGTGGACATTGCAGTGAGCCAAGATCACACCACTGCACTCCAGCCTGGACGACAGAACACGATCCTGTCTCAAAAAAAAAAAAGGCTGAGGCAGGAGAATTGCCTGAACCTAGGAGGCGGAGGTTGCGGTGAGCCGAGATTGCGCCACTGTACTCCAGACAGGGTAACAACAGGGAAATTCCGTCTCAAAAAAAAAAAAAAGCAAAAAGCATTATCAGAGACTTGAATGCAAAGTAAAACCATGAAATTTCTAAGAGAAAAATTGGGCTAGGAAAAGAGCTCTCAGATAGAACTTTGAAAGTATAATCTGGCCAGGTGTAGTGGCTCACACCCGTAATCCCAGCACTTTGGAAGACCAAGGCAGGCTGATCACCTGACAGTCAGGAGTTGGAGACCAGACTGACAAACATCTCTACTAAAAATAAAATATTAGCTAGGTGTTGTGGCAGGCGCCTGTAATCTCAGCTACTCTGGAGGTTGAGGCAGGAGAATCACTTGAACCCGGGAGGCAGAAGTTGCAGTGACCCAAGATCACACCACTGAACTCCAGAACTCCAGCCTAGGCAACAGAGAGAGACGAAAGAAAGAAAATAAAGGAAAGAAAGGAAAGGAAGAAGAAAAGAAAGTAATCCATTAAAAAGAAATTATTTTATAAAGCAGACCTCACCAAAACCAAAAAGTTTTGCTCTGCAAAACATACTGTTAAGGGAATGAAAAGACCAGCCATGCATTGAGAGAAAATATTTGCAAATCAGGTATCCAAAAAACAGTGTTCAAAAGATACAAATAATTCCCAAAACTCAACAATAAGAAACCAAAAAATTCAACTTTTTAAAACTCTGCAAAAGACTTGAGCAAATATTTCCCTACAATACGGATGGCAAATAAGCATAGCAAAAGATATGCAAGATCATCAGTCGTTCAAGACACACGGAACGCTAGGACATACCCAGGACAGACCACTACACATCTACCGGAACACTAGGACATAGCCAGGACAGACCACTACACATGTACCGGAACGCTAGGACATAGCCAGGACAGACCACTACACATCTACCGGAACGCTAGGACATACCCAGGACAGACCACTACACATCTACCGGAACGCTAGGACATAGCCAGGACAGACCACTACACATGTACCGGAACGCTAGGACATAGCCAGGACAGACCACTACACATGTACCGGAACGCTAGGACATACCCAGGACAGACCACTACACGTCTACCGGAACGCTAGGACATAGCCAGGACAGACCACTACACGTCTACGGGAACGCTAGGACATACCCAGGACAGACCACTACACGTCTACCGGAACGCTAGGACATAGCCAGGACAGACCACTACACGTGTACCGGAACGCTAGGACATACCCAGGACAGACCACTACACGTCTACCGGAACGCTAGGACATACCCAGGACAGACCACTACACGTGTACCGGAACGCTAGGACATACCCAGGACAGACCACTACACGTGTACCGGAACGCTAGGACATAGCCAGGACAGACCACTACACGTCTACCGGAACGCTAGGACATAGCCAGGACAGACCACTACACATGTACCGGAACGCTAGGACATACCCAGGACAGACCACTACACATGTACCGGAACGCTAGGACATACCCAGGACAGACCACTACACGTCTACCGGAACGCTAGGACATACCCAGGACAGACCACTACACGTGTACCGGAACGCTAGGACATACCCAGGACAGACCACTACACGTCTACCGGAACACTAGGACATAGCCAGGACAGACCACTACACATGTACCGGAACGCTAGGACATAGCCAGGACAGACCACTACACATGTACCGGAACGCTAGGACATAGCCAGGACAGACTACTACACATGTACCGGAACACTAGGACATAGCCAGGACAGACTACTACACATGTACCGGAACGCTAGGACATAGCCAGGACAGACCACCACACATCTACCGGAACGCTAGGACATAGCCAGGACAGACCACTACACATCTACCGGAACGCTAGGACATACCCAGGACAGACCACTACACATGTACCGGAACGCTAGGACATACCCAGGACAGACCACTACACATGTACCGGAACGCTAGGACATACCCAGGACAGACCACTACACGAAAGTTTACGGCAACTGGATTCATCACTGCCAGAACCTAGAAAAAATCCAAACACCCCTCAGCGGGTACATGGATCAGCAAACTGTGGTCCATCCAAACAGCACTACTCAGCAACTAAAGGACAAACGCGGCAACAGCAGGCGTCAGTCTCAAGTGTGTTTCCATCCCCCAACTCGAGTCAGAACTCCGAGAAAGGAAAACAGGCCTGAGGAGAGGGCCATGGGGTGCCAGAGGCTGGAAGTTGTAGATGGGTGGCCACAAAGAAACAGCACAAGGGCCAACAAAAACGATGAGTTAGTGTCCTTCGTAGGGACATGGATGAACCTGGAAACCATCATTCTCAGCAAACTGACACAAGAACAGAAAATCAAACACCGC